GATGCAATTAACTGGTATTGTTTATGGATAAATGTTGCACTTTTAATATTAATTTATTTTGCTTCTTTCCTTTATTGTCTTCAATCAGTTGATTTTTATAAATCAATGTTTTTTTCATTTTTAAGTCAAGTTTAATGTTAGGCACTTTAAGAGTCATTTCTGGTTTAAATGGGTTTCCAATTTAGTTTCAGATTTGGGTTTTTAATACTTTTGATGAAACAGTTTGGTCTCACTTTTATACTCATTGTTAACCCAATTTACCTGTTAATTTTACCTAATATTTGATAGCGGAAAGGGAAGCTGTAATGAGTTGAGGAAGAAAATTGTTGATCAGAAAAATATTGAATTAGATGTTGCATATGAAAAGATGTGTGAGAAATGGCTGATGTGAGTTAGGGATAAGGATGAGGATCAACCAGATGTTGCATGATATTTCTTTCAGTTAAAATCAGAGTTTTTTTTTCTTCTTCACTCATCTTTTGCTTTTTGCTGAGTGAGACAATCAAAACTCCATCATTGGTAAGATGATGATGATGATGGTAGATGAAGGAGGATGAGAGGAGAAGAGGTAAGATTTGTTGTAAAGTGTTTTGATGTTTGGTTGAAATGGCAATGGACGAGTCAACATGTTGCCATGGATGTTGACTTTGAGTTATAAAAATGAACCCAAATGAATAGATGAAGGAGGAAGAAGATGAGGATGAAGAAGAGACTCCAGTTTAAGATGTGAATTGAAAGATTAGCTTCTTCAAATGTTACTCTTTTTTTTGCCTTCCCTTTACTTGATCACATTTTTATCCTAAAGATGCCTTTCCATACAAGATGATGATGGAGGTAATTGTAAAAGATTGATTGCTTTTCATTTGTGTATGACTTGTGATATTGTTCAACATTTACCAGGTAAACAGATTTTACTAACGATAAAGGTTAACAATAAATATTGTTATCATTTATCATGTAACTTACATTCATTAAACAATTGCAACTCCAAAAAATATATTCATAATAGATTTACATTTCACTCTTAACAATCAAAAGCTAAATAAAGTCTGCTCGAGATGAGATAACCTTTAACAAGAATCTGATAATCATGAAATTACATGGAAACTAAACATTATTTTAAAAGAAAAATTCCTAAAAATCGAAAACAAAAATTTCTGAAAAGAAATTTCAAGTCAATCAAAAAGATCAAAAGATCGACCTTTCAATTCATCGAAATTTTCTGGATCTTTTTGCCATCTAAATGAGCTTTTCTGGTTCATCTGATTTGGAGTCAAGATTTCGATGATTTCTCAGTTCTGGTGTAAGAATTTAAGAAAATGTGGCGAAAAAATCGAAAGCGAAAATTCCTCTGAAGAAGTTTCAGATTCAATCAACTTGATCAGTCATTTTGAGGCTTTTAGCTTACGGAAATTTTCTGGTTCATTTGGAGTTGCGATTTTAATGAAGTCCTCCGTTCTGGTTCAATCTAATTAATAGTTGTTGTTGTTGCTTATTTGAATGTAATAACTTGACAAAAATAATCAACTAATAATGATAATAACAGTAATGATAATAATGGCTGGTAATAATAGCTTGATAGTGTGACTTTTGACACAATTGAAATGTATTATATTTAATTTTGTATTGCACTTTCTTTTTGTGGACAATTTAGATGAATTTTTGAGTAACCCAAAGTCCCATTTATATGTTTATAAAATTATTATCAAAATAATATCATTTTTTTATCAAACTATTCCCTGTGAGTTTCTATGGTGATTTTCATGTTGTTTTATTGATGTGAAAAAAAAACACAAGCAAAATATTGTTATCATTATTAGTTTATTTTTAATATTTTTTTTCTTCTTCTTCTTCTTCATTTTACTCTGACAATTAAATGTAAATAATCAAATCTATTTCTTGCCATTAATCATAATAACAATCTGAGATAATCAGCATTAATTCAACTATTCAGGATTATTTGAGTAGAGTAAAAAAGAAGTTCAAATCCCAGTTTTCCGATTGCTATTAACATTTAATTAATATTGTTAGACTTCATGTTTTGTGAGTTTTATGCTGATTATTATTGTTATTATATTTTATATATCAAGTAAATTTAAAAGGTAAAAGGCAAAAAAAAGATGAAATGATCAAAAGCACTTTGATTCTGGGAAATACAATAGAAATGATTTTTTCTCCTTCAGGGTAAATGAGTAAGAAGCTAAACTAAGCTGATTTAGCTTGAACAAAAATAGGCTTGATTGGCTTGATAAAACAGGGACTTTACCATGATTCAGTAATAGGAATAACAGTAATAATAATGATGATATGGATAATGGTTAAGATGAAGAGGAATCTTCATTTTACAGACATTTTCTTATCTTCCCCATCATCCCTTCCATCATCATTTTCATCGTCATTTTTATCGTCATTTTTATTCATCATCTAATTAGGATTTGTTAGGCCATAAGTTAACAATCTTGTAACCTAATAAAGTGCCTCTTGTCCCATCAGATGTAACACATTGAACCCATTTTACATGTCCAGTACTTTGTATCTTCACTACAACTTTCAAATGGATGATCAAACCTTGCAAGGAGTAAACCTTTTGGGAAAAATGCTTAATTATGATTAAGCCTTTTCTACCTTTACATCTTTTCCATTGAAAATATAATTTAATTTAATTTCTTAATTAAGTATATCCTCTGTTAATTAAGACAATCAATTTTTTCACCCGAAAAGTCAAACATTTTCAATTCACTGTTTTTGGGTTGAAGCTTTTTTTGTGTGCTTTGGTTTTGCTTTCAAATCTGGTTAAATTGAGATTAGTTTTTGGTTTTGTTTTTCGGATAATTTCTGGTTAATTTGATCAAAATTGGTAAATCTGAATCATTTTTGATCATTTTTGCTTGCAAATGCAATAATTTAGTGAACCGCCCAAATGAAAACAATTAACATCAATTTGAAGGATTAAACAAATCAACTTTAATCATTATTGAGAATCAGCAATTGTGCACATCGTTCAATCTAATGATATATATTTAACCCAAAAATGGGTGGATATTATCATTATAATACAAATGTATATCGTTTAAGTGAAAGTTAAATGTTGCGACTTAAAGTGATTATAAATTGTCACAATTAATTCATCTTATTTATCATTTGTCTTTACATCTCATCTTGTAATATTAATACTGGAAATATGATAATTTTTACTTCCATGTTGCCATTTTACCAATATTGATAATTGATTGTTTAATCATTGAAATCAGTTGAACATTAAGTGAAATGGACATTGAATTGATTGCCATTTTTCAATTGAATGTCATTTGCCAATATTTATCATTATTATCATCTTAATTGTACTGGTTAATGAAATTAAATGTAAATATTATTCCTTTGTTTCTCAATGATCAAGAAAGGAAAATGATGCTTCAATTGTTTGCCTTTTTACATTCCCATTTGAATGTTGATGTTATTGTTGATATTTGATTTGTTCAAATTATATTAATCACAATCATTTGTCTTCTGGTTTACCTGGTTCAATTTGATTCCCTGAAGGTGAAATAAATCAATAAGTTACCACGCTTTTATGGATAATAATAGTGATTGTTGCTTGTTCATTGTGATGGTTGTTGCTTTGGAAAGTCAAGTTAGTTAATTGTTTTTCCCTTGTATTTTCAATTATCATCACGAACAAAACAAACTCAAAGAGGTTATCAGATGTTCATGGTGAAGATGGTGAAGATGGTGAATGTGATGAGAAGATGAAATGTGAAAACTTAAATGGTAGTGATCTGAAAAGCCACAAAGTTCCGACAAGAATAATGGTGAACCATTGTAAAGATGAAGTCTTTTTCTTCCAGTTAAAATATCATGTAGAGAAAACTCTTTTTTATCCTTTTCTTTTTCACCTTTTATCATCATTTTATCTTCTTCTTCTTTTTCCTCCTCATTTTCCTCCTCATCATCATCTTAGCATCGTTAAATGTATTAAAGACAAACCATAAAGGGAGAAGATGAAAATGAATGAAATGATGATGAAAGTAAAATGCATTGCATGATGATGTTTCATTATGAAGTTTAGTAGCTTTTTTATTGGTTTTGTCATGCTATCCTAATTATCATCAACTTGATTATTATTATCAGCATCATCATCAATAACAACAACCATCATATGAGTAAAACAATTAATGAAGTTCACAATTTTCAAACAATTTCACTTGAATTTGAGAAGAGAGTAAATAATGGATAAGGTTAACATTTTCACTTCGTTCTTGTTTGAAACCGATCATTTCAGTGCTTTCATTTGCCGTAATATTTTCCGATTTTGATTGATACATTATCTAATTTTTAAATCATCATCAATTGAACAACTAAAGATGAATAATTAAAGTAAATTAATAATGAAAACAGTCGATTATTTTCCAACAAAAGTATGAATTGGTGAAAACAGTAAGATCCATTTGTCTCATTAGATGGCATTGTTTTTGCTTAATAGTGAAAGTATGGCAGACGATCAAAGGTTTAGAAATCTGTTGAAAAAATTGTTTAATGATGTGATTGTAATTTTGTTTTATCATTTTATTGTTTCAAGTGAATCTTTTTTTCTCATTAATTTATTAATTACAATATATTAATAAGTAATGTATCTAATGTATAGCTAAAAAACACTCTATACAGTTTGTATTAATCAACTAATTGTTGTTTTTCTTGTTTCTTTTCATTCCATGTGCTGTTTTTATATATCTGCTGGTTTTAACACACTTACACTCACACACCTATACCTTTGTGCAAAAATAATATCAACATTGTCACCACCACAACGAACACTCAATTTTCCCTCCTTCTTTATCTTCATCTTGATGTTACTTAACAACAAACCCAATCATTTCAATCATCTTTTCAACACCTAAATCACTCTATATTTTTTTGGGGATACTAATGGATAAATATAAATGAATGTCTCACTGCTGATTTGTATCATGATTTGCTGTTGTTTTTGGTTTCAAATTATTTAGCTTGCAAACGAAAAGAGGAACCTACTCCAGTAACTAGTAAACAAGCTTCAGCACCTAAAAAACCTCGTCTAGTTTTCACTGATCTTCAACGTCGAACACTTCAAGCAATTTTTAAGGAAACAAAACGACCTTCTAAAGAGATGCAAATAACCATTTCACAACAGTTGGGTCTTGATTTATCGACAGTGGGTAATTTCTTTATGAATGCTCGTCGTAGATCACAAGATAAATGGATGGATGATGCCTCAGATATTTCTAAACACTCATCACCCCTCAACTCAGCCTCCAATTCTCCTGCCTCATCAGCCTCTCATCACATTGGTGGACCCAGTGGTAGCTCATCGTCGAGAGGCGGAGGTGGAGGAGGAAATAGTCCAACACATGGAAATAATAACAACTCTGTTGTAATTAAAGGAACCTCTTTATCTGGTCAACCCACTTCTGTTGTTACATTAGGGGTTGTTACATCGACCACATCTTCATGCACATAACAGCAGTCTTTGGCTAAAAAGTCTTTTATCTCAATGAGATTTGAATAATATCTTCAATAATCTTCTTCTTTTTATGTTAAAGGTTGAAAATTATTTGCCCCTTCCCTCGATATCTGAGGAAATGAGAAGAAAAACAAATATTTTAACCCTTTCTTCTTCTTTTTACATCTTCAAGTGCTACTAAATAATTAGTAAATTAGCTAATTTAGACTCCGCTGTAAATCTGGTTCAACATAGAGGATAAAGCGACAACAAAAGGTTTCCAGCTTGCTTTTTCATCATCTGATATGGATCAACCTAGGAAATAACGTTTCATCTAGTCGAAATCAGAGGTTGACTTCCTCGTCTAGTCCTAGCAAGTTGAATCGTCTATTCACCGGTGAAAACGATTGTTTCAATCAAAATTGACAATATGGTTTCTCCATCACTTTGATCACCATCTAAATCACCTCCGTTTCCTTCTCTCAAACATTCTCTGGTCTTTCTCTACTGATTTGCTGAGCTTGACCCAACCAGCAGCATCGCAATGTAATATAAATGATATTATAAGGATCGATTCCTGATCAACTGTGCAACTTACCCAAAGCCTTGAAAAAGAAGATTTAATAATACAAAAACAATTATGATAATACAAAGTTATTGGTACAAAAAAAGAAATTTAAAGGCAAAGACAAGTTATATTCAAATTATAAATTCAAGTTGGATTTAATCTGTTACTCTAATCAGAGCTAACGTGAGCTGCTCAAAAACTAAAATTGAAACCGGATGAAATGGATGATGCAAAAGAAATATTTAACAACCAATTTTGATTCTTCTTTTGATTACATCAATGGAAATTTAATTAATTAACTCTACCTTTCCTCTCTCTCCCTTTCTTTGTGGTTATTTTTCACCTCATTACAATTTGGAACACAAAAACCACTCACTTACATTTATAAACGCAAATCTCACAATTAATGAGAAAAAACAAATTCACCAAAAGACAACCAACATTTCACCGGAAAAATGATGATAAGAACACAATCATCTTAACTCCTCATCCAACTCATCCTCATAGCCATTCTCATCCTCATCGCCATCATTATCATCATTATCTTCATTTACATTTGTAAGCTGATAATTAATGCAGCTTGAAGTTGATTGAAAGGAAAACCAAAACATACAAAGCTGGAAAAAGATGGAGAAGTTTCAAAACAAAACAAAAAGGATAACCAGATAATTTTAAATTATAATACGAATAATAATAATAATAACAATAATAATAATTAATTTGATTATTATTAACTTGTAATGATATATTGTATTATTATTATTGTTATGGTTTCTTCAATTATGGATGAGGGCTAAGCAAGAAGACGACAGAAAGAATCGACTTTAATTATAAACAATTTCTCGATAAAAAAACATTAGTTTTAACTTAACTAATCACTATTACTATTATTGCTATTATTATTTATTATTATTATTGATAATTATTATTATTATTACTATTATGATTCTGTATCATTGTACTTAATTGCTATTGAACTCTCATGTATATTATCTGTACGATTGAATATAGCAAAACAAAGGTAAAGCAAACCTTAACCTGGTCAAGTCAGATTGCAATCAATCTGAATTGACTAATTGATACTCAATAGCACCACAGATCGATTCTCCTTAATTCCCTTCAAACCTTCAACCAATTCCCAATCACCATTTGATTCTTGATAATTTTCTCATTCCTTGATCTCAATTTCAATCATTCCAAGATGTGAATCCTCACTATGGTCATATTTTTTGCTTCACTTACTTTGATTAATTTTAATCACGTATTTTATGTCAACCAAATCTTTCAAAGTCACACCAATGTTCAACCATTGTTATTCATTTCCAAATTTTACCTTAATTTTGTTTCTAGTCATATGTTTGAAATACCTTTCGTTGTATCGTTTATTTTGTTTTTATTTTGCTGTGATTTTCATTTAACTTTACCAATGTTTTCAACATCTTTACATCTGTTCATCATTCATCATCATTTCATCAAATTGGGATGATGATAATTCCCACTTGTTCAACATTCTTGATGATCATCTTGATTTGAGAAAAATGTTTAATTTTGCTTTGATGCAATAGAAAAGCAAAGACACATTAATAAAAGAATCAGAGTTTCAACATTTTATTTCTTATGATGATAAATCTAATATTATCTTTCTGTTACTCCTAATTCCGCTGACAAAGAATAAAGTTATAATACGAAACAACAATCAACTCTTTCACCTGATTTAAGTACAATCAAATGTTTCCAGTATTCAAATGGCTCATCTGTAACCTTTTATTTACATTTTAAGTTTTTCAAACCTTTGTTTTTAGATATTTATTTACATCTTTTTTTTTGTTTTTCATCTTATTTTGTTTTGTTTGTTCTGTAATGATGTGTTTAGTAGTGATTAAATTGAATCTGAGAGCAAAAAAACCAACAAAATGATAGCTTTTTGCTTGAATCGGTGGGATTTTGACCTCATAGCTTGAGTTGCAATTAATGGGTAAAACTGACCATTGAGTTTTTCCCGTCTATTAACGTCTTTCTTCTGGTGATTTCCCATGAAGATTTAACTCTAAACACGACTCTGGTAGATTCAGAGAGTAACAAAGAGATGATGTCTGATAATTCAAGGAGGAAGAAACAACTGAATTAGTGAGTTGATTTACTAGTCTATTGTTAGTGAGCTTCATCTGAACTTAAAATTTAACCATAAAAACCATTCAAAATTAAACTTCAGTGTAAATCGTTGTTTAACCCTTGATTTTGATTTAGTGAAAGTAACATTACACAGAAACAGTAACTTTACATTGCTAACGTGTTTAAAAGATGCTTTGTTATTCAACCAAATTCATCATTATTTTTGCGCTTATGGTAAGTATGCTATTTTGATTAGTAATTTTATGTAATTTTTTGAACTGAATCGTAGCTAATTTTTAGCTTTTTTGTTGAATTCAATATCGATTCAACATTTTTTTCATTTCTATTTTTTGCATAATGTTGTAAAATTTTGGTAATCTCGGTTTATGTCAGATTTATGTTTTTATCTGAAATAAAAGGCTGAAGTTTGAATAGCTTGGCGATCTCATGTACTACAGTGATGAGCATATTGTAATTATAGCGATGATGATAGTCATGAAATAAGTGAAAGGATTTTCCCAAGTCTAATATTATTGTTCCTTTGTTCAAATAATCCCATCACACAATCTGACCTTGTCCACAACATTAATTTTAGTCTTGTCTTAATGTTTTGTTTTGTTTTACACACAAATTATCAAAAGTTTTACAATCTTATTCAACATTTAGCTCATGATTAACAACAAAATTTATTAACGAGAAAAAATTAACTGTGTTCTTATGAAAATTTGTATTTCTAACTGAAATATCTGGTATCTTATGTGTGACCATTTTGGTTGCTCTTAATTTAGGTTACTGTCTCAGGACGAACTTGGAACTTTTTTGCCTTAAATTCACCCAAACCATGTCAATCATCAGATGATTGTAGACGGGGTGAATGTTGCGCTATTGGTAAGTAAACAGTCTTTTATCAAGGTTATTATTATGATGATTCAGTCCATCAATGAAACCAGCCTCAACAGTTAATTTAAACTGATGAGGATACCTACTAATTATATTGTATGTCTTTTTGTGTTTAAACGTTGGTGTCTTTCAATGGTGTTTCCCATATTCATCAATATTTTTACCATTTTATCCTACAAAGAAAAAGATATTTCAATGATTAATAATAATTTATTTATGTTATTTTTAAGGTTTTGCCAGATTCAGTGTTCCAATGTGTAAACCAATGGGTAGGATTAACGATTGGTGTTATCCAGACAATGAACCAGAAAATATGACACTTCATTATCCATATGGATCAGAGGCTTACACCAATGTTCATCGGAACTTTTGTCCATGTAAACAACCTCTCACTTGTGAACATAATATTTGTAAATTTGAAAGATTCAATTATTATTAACTTTTGTTAAATTCAAATTACATGTATACATAAAGATAAATTTCATCTTGATTCTAATTTAGTTTTCTTTATTGCTCCAAAGATGGCGTAGTTTTGAATGCTTTTTGTTTTATTAACAGATTCAGAACCACTTAGGCTCAATTTTATTAAGATTAATATTCAGCGCAAATTATTACATGGACTTGTCCGCACAAATAGTTATCGTAACCAACGGAATGTTTGTTAATCAATCAAGCTGGCTCAACTATTGAAAAAGGCGCTTTGAATGATCACTAAATGCATTGTCCAATCAGTGCACACTTATCCACATTGAGGATTGCATCATTTGCTCTTTTTTGTTTTGGTCCGAAATGACTATCCCATTGCTTGTCAATTGTTAAAATTCAATGTAAATCATTTTAGATTAACTTATTTACGTCTAGATTCTCAAAAGACGCTTTTTTATCATCATGTTTACCTATATTTATGATACTTATTGATATTCTTTGGAAACATGTAAATGATCTTGATTAACCAAAATGTTTATACTTATAAATTGGTGTATATTTTTGTATTCGACTCTTCTATAGATGTGATGGTCTAATTAGTGCTCGAATTTTGAAAGACATGCGGTAAATATGGAAACCGATGGAGAAAGCTCGTCATCATTGAAACAAATTCCCTATTACAAGAAAATTGTGGGTACCAGGTTTGCTATCGATGCTTTCAACTACGAAGAATCGCCAGAAATCACCTATTATTTACTATCACACTTCCATTATGACCACTATATAGGTTTGAATGCTAATTTTACTGGTAATATTTTAACATCACCCATTACTGGAAGGTTGATTGTTGATCGAATCGGAGTCAAGACAAACCATGTAATCATGGTTGATATTCATCAACCTATTGTAATCGATGGAGTTACAGTTGTTCTGATTGACGCATTTCATTGTCCTGGCTCAGTGATGTTTCTATTTATTTTACCTGATGGTAAACGTATACTGCACACAGGAGATTTCCGGGCCTCCCCTGAAATGGAGAAAAACAATTTTCTTACTGAGAAACCAATAGATCATATTTACTTGGATACAACTTATTGTCACCCCGATTATAACTTTCCGAAACAAGGAGAGACTCTTCAAATGGTCATTGATTTAACTCTTGAGTATCTTGCTAAGGAACCCAAGCTATTAATTGTTTGCGGTGCTTACACAATTGGCAAGGAAAAAGTTTTCAAATGTTTATGTGAAACTTTGTGCATGAACCTTTGGGTCCCATCATCGAAGTTGCAAGTACTTCTCAGCATGAATGATCCCGTTATCCAACAACATTTGGTTTTAGATAAGGATGATGCTCAAATTCACGTTTTACCCATGACAGATATTAACCATGAGGTTTGTGTAGTTCTATTCTTGAAAATTTAGCCAACTCAATTTGTTCTTATCTTTATCAGTTTCTGCGAGGTTATCTTAGAGGCTGTCGCGATCGATTCACTTCAATATTAGCTTTCAAACCTTCAGGTTGGCAAAACAATGAAGACTCATCCTCTGCAATCGTTCCAGCAATACAAGATAATGTGTACATCTACGGTAAGTGATTAGTGTATAATCTCTAATGTATCATTCTAATCAAAAGTTTGTTTCATTTCTTATCCTTTTTCCAGGGATTCCATACAGTGAACACTCAAGCTACTCAGAGTTGGAAAGATTCATTAAATTTTTCAAGCCTCGGATGATCACGCCGACTGTCTTTCACTCTGATTCCAAATTTCGAGTAATGATGCTCAGAAGTATAGCCCAATGGAAGTCAACTTATCTGCAAAATGGCGACCAACAGAGTTCAGCTTGATATTGTTCAATGGCAATCATTTTATTACAATATATATTTGTATATTCTTTATCAATGATCTTAAACTTTACTTGAGTCTACCTCAATTAATCAATTTCTAGCTACAATGTGCTTGTCTTAATTAAATTATGGTCTGAGCTGATTCAAATTTCGGACTCAGACTTATATAGTCTCTGAAATTTGTGCAATTAAATTTGGCTACTAAATTTTTTAGTCAATCAATTAAAATCTTTACTTTACCTTGACTCTAAATTCTCAATTGAATATTGATTGCAAGTATTCTGCAGTCGAGTATCTGCTAAAAATCCGCTGAATTACAGCACTCCGATTTCAGCTTATCAAATATTTAGGGCTTAGATTTATTATGAGAAATAATAGGTTCAAATTTATCATTCCAAAGTTTAAAGTTTAGGTTTTTTTGACTTAATCAGAATTAGAAAATCATCAATCGTGGTGGCAATTAAAATAATTTAAGATATTATAATATTATAAAGGTGAAAAAATCGCAAAAGATTTTGATTTTCCCTCTTTTAAGTAAACTGTTACTTGGTTACAGAAGCTCACCGAAATACTGTAACTTGTTTCATATGATAAGGCTGAGTCGCTTAGGCTATTTTAAACTTGTTATCAAAACCTCTCTGATAATGAATCGAATTTAATCGTTTACTGTTAAATCGATCAGATCGGTTCTCAATCTAACTGTGCACGGATCTATTCTGAATCTATTTTTGCATTTCCCATACACTTTTTGCATTCAATCCCTTCCTCAATTGTATTGTTTAATCAAGTTTTCTATGCGGTGATTGTGATTCTTCTAAAGTCTTCAAAAATTCAAAAACCACCGAATTAAGGTGAAATGGATCTAACACCCAGCTGTCTATTGAATGTTGATGGTATCAACTATAAAATTGATTTAAAGCAGAAAAACGGGGAAAAGAAGATTGATTTGAACTGCTTACACAGACTTCTTACCGAGATTCACGAAGAACTTAAAGATTTAGATCTATTAAATAAAAATAAATACATAATAGAGGTAAGTTGTTTTTCTATTAGTTTTGCTTGTATATTTAATTTCAATTTTTGCTTTTCCCATTCAGATATTTGATCATCGTTTTCAAGAGTATGTACCAGTGGATGATGAGACTGAAATAGTCGACAAGGCTAAACTAAGGGCCAGAAGCTTAGAAATAGACTTAACAACCTCCTTAAATGGTACTGATTATATAGAGGATGAAGTACTGATAGTTAAAGATTTAGATGACAAAACCCAACTTGTCAATATTGTCTGCCAGCTTCACATGGACTTCATCAGTACACCAAACCGCAACAGAAGAAGAAAATCCAACCATGTTTTAGAGGAAAATCTCAGAATGAAAGAAAAATTCTGGGTCTCTGTTTCTGAAGAATTGGCCATTGCTAGGAATCGTAATTTCAAACCTGAACAGTGCATGACCATGTTCTTTGGCCTCCTTTCTCAATATCAATATGTTTTGAGGAAATATAAGCGATTGACTGAAGATAAAGTACAAGAGATGTGGCCCTTTTTCAAAGCTTTCCACCACAAAATTGATTGTAAACTATTTGCCAAAGTCTTACATAATCTTAAATCTGGTTTTGATTCTTGCAAGAAGGATTATAGAGGAAATAAGGATCCAAGACATCATTCAAAATCTGAGTGTTCACGTTTAGAAGAAGATTTCAATTTAATCATGTCAGTTGTTAATCGCCTCAGCTCATTTAGAAAGCCTCCTCGAGTTGCTGCATGGAAAACTATCAGTGATGATATGGCTGATTATAATTCACCTAATAGTCGGATGACCGCTTTCCGCTGGCAAAAGCGTTTTCATGAGCTACTCACAAAATATGTGCAGATTTCTAGTCGAGACTCGCAAATTGAGAAAGAAACATGGCCACTTTACAATTTATTTTCTCAAATTGATATTGACCTTTTTATGAAAGTTTCTGATAAAAACCCCAAAGAGCGAAGACCTACAAGATCTCCTATCCCGATTGACTTATCTGATAGTGAATCCGAGTTTGTAGTTATCGATGAGATTACAGCTGAAAGTGACCAAGAGGAAACGCAGATGGTCGATCTTGAAGAAGACGAAATCAATGAAGTTGTTCAAGAAGTCTTAGACTATCTAATTGATCAGGTGGAACTGGAAGTGTGAAGCGCAATTGTTCATAAAGATTTTCACCATTTTTTACTTGGTACTTTCAACTTGTCAATTTTTGATTTCATATTGTCATATTGGCCACATTCCTGTTATTCATTCATCTGATCCATATGTATATGTCCAATCTTATAATAATATCAACACCAATCGTAAACTCAATTAGGATGTCGAATATATTTTCATATGTTCCTACTTTAAAATTTAAAGAATGCCTGTAATCTATTACCAGCGCATCGAAGAAAATTTTGTTCACCAAATACTATTTCTAAGAATCTCTACTCAGTGACCGACCGTGCTGCACTAAATGACTCAGAATTTTGTTACCTCAATCCTCATTGGTATTAATTTAAGGACAAACGAATCTGTTTCGTGGCATGTGTCAATTCAGATGGAATCAACTAATACTAGGCATGATGGATTAAAATCACAGCGATTTCCTCAATTCTTCAAATTTGGTCAACAAAAACAAAATCATTGCATTCATATTGTAATCTTCATGATATAGTCATAAAAATATTTATCAATCAGCAAATGTAAAATATATTTAGCATCCTAAAATATTTTATAAATGCTGAGCACCATCCTTTGTTAATTCTCTTCTATTATCACTCTTAAATCAATCTTTGAAGTAAATTTTTTTCTAATTGATTAATCATGTGAAGTCATTATTTATCAGTTTCAAAAAGATTAGGTTTTTGATGTATCGCTGAAGTTAATCAAGAGAGTCACTTTCTCTTGTTTGAGTGTAAGCTTTGTTTTTGTTCATTACTGATTATAAAGAGTCAATTTCATTTGAATAAACAATTGCTTTTTGTTTTGCTTAATTTTTAAATTGTCTCTTAATTTTTATTTTTTCTTTTCAAATCCTGGCGCTTTAACTTTTGAAGCATGTGCAAGTACACATGAATGAAGCCGCCTTGTGTCGCCAGAAGTGTTGGTTACCATTTTGTAAACAATTTTCAGCTTAATTACTTGCTACGGCAAGAAAAACAAAATCATCTAGTTTTATTATGGTTTATTAATAAATCCAGATTATACCTCTTATTAAGCCTGAGTAAATTGGATTCATCACAGGATAAAAAATCATCATTACTTGTGTCAATCGTGCAAAGCTTCTTCTTTTTGATTCATTGGTTATGGTAAAAGAATCTGGACCAACATGCCAACAATTATTCTACTTGATGTTTCTTTATCCATGTCTAAAACTGTCGTTCTTCAGGACACTAATGAAGTACAATCGTTGAAAAATCTAGCCGTACAAGGTTTAAATCTTCTGTTAGATTATATTTCGAATAACTGCAGACTAGAATTGATTTCGCTCATGTTATACTCGTCACTTTGGGAACGCAGCTTGTCGTTCACTCGTGATTATGACAATATTCGCGCTGCTCTCAATTTATCGGATGAAGTGTTTGATAAAACAAATACCATAAACGCTCTCAGAGGAGTCCAAGAATTAGTTCATGAAGAATGGGGTAGTAATGTACCTTGCAACATTTTACTAGTAACTGATGGTAGTCCAGGCATATCATCCTACTCAGAAGCTGAAAACTTTGAGAAATGCTTGTTCAAATTCAATTTTCCTGCTAAACTTCATATTGTTAGTTTATGTTCACCAAGCGAACCTTTCGCTCAACATGCTGTTTCTTATTTCAAAAAGATATTGGAAACAGTAATGCCAGAATCTAAGAATGACATAAGTAAGTAGCATTAGATGTAGATTAGTTTTCCCCATTTCTGGTGGAAAACTTTTTAATCATAAAAATTTCAAGGTTTCATGCTAAACAATATTTTTTTCATATTAATTTTTTAGGTAATCATCTTTGGATGCCAGAAACAATGTCAATGAACTGTATAAAAAAGATTTTTCAAGATTTGGCTGAATCTAATTACACTCCCTATCGTGGAAGACTTCATTGTGGAAGTTTGAGTGGTCCAATCATGTTATTCCCAACTTTAGAAGGATATGTTCAAAATAATGATTTTGAGATAATCAATATTCAACCATCTAGTGATATAACCATTTGTGGATTCATGAATATCAACGAAGTCTCAAGTCCACCGGTTCATAGTCGCCATTTGATCTTCAGTACTCCTTTGACTAAGGATGAATTACAACGATTCCATTCAATCCTAACATTTAAAGATAGCGCAAATTTTGATTTAAATGCTTCAACAACTTTTGACATGGAAGAAGCTCTTAATTCAATACTAACCGATGAAAGCAAACAACCATCTTTATGTGTATTACTTCATGGAGCTCTTAAAGTCGAAGGAATGGTTGCCATATGTAAACTTGCACCTAATTGGTATGGTATGATCTACTCTTGGGCTGACAGTAAAAAGAAATCAAGTTTAATGTTTTCAACATTCAATGCTGGAACAGATTGTGTCTCTTGGCTTGGTAATTTATCAATGTTAGGTTTACCTCAGTTAAGTGTAAAAGGAGCAGTTCAAGAGCCTAGTAAAAGCAATGAACGTAAAAGTTATTCTTCATCGTGTGTTGTTTGGATTAAACAATCAAACCTTCAATCTGATATTCAAAAAGTTTTACGATTGGCTAAAAAATTACCTGAAAAGACACCAAACTTTTATAAAGAGCTAAATAGATTTAGAAAAGCTGCCCTTGTAACTGGTTTCTATGAAATAATTGACGGTATGGCAGCTATTCTTGAAAGAGAGTGTACATTATTACCTGGTGGATCTAATCCTGAAGCTGCTTTACAATTAACCCATGCTTCACAAGCACTTAGAGCAAATAAGGAACCAAGTTCTTACGATTCAGTGATAACCCCAATGAAAACAAGGTTCACATCAAACTAAATCAAAAAGGCTTAAATTTTTTCAGTTGGTTTAGTTTGTTGATCTTCATCATCTTGTAAAATTATTGGCTTTTTTCAACCATTCAAGTTAAATCTCCTCTTTTCCAGAAAAACAATGTATCAATATTTCTTATATTTCATAAATATTATTTTTTGTTCAAAGATAAAATTGTAAATATGCAAAGACCATATAAAACTTTCTCATTCGCTTACATGAGCTATTTGTCTCTTTTTAAAATTTTACGGAATTTTCATCGTAATACTTTCAATTTTATCAACAAAATGTAAGTATTATTTTTAACTTATTTTTCCATTTTCCATGCAATATTTTCGTCATACCAATTGGATAAATCATGAAGGATATTATAAATACTCATGAAAATAAGTAGGCAGAAAAAATCGTGTTGAATGCATTTCTCCTACTTAAGGATCTATCGTTAATGTATCAAGTAAACTGTGGGTGAATTCCCACTTTCCCGAAGATCCTGTGAGAACAGAAAAACAAAAGATAGCTGTGATTATCATGAACAACAATGAATAAAATATTGTAAGGAAGGAAGAGAGGAACGGAGAGAGTTAACTTACCAGGCTATGAGCAGTCAGTCCTTGAAGCTTCTTCAGTTAAAATCATTTAGCACATGCGATATTCAACAACAAGTTTATCTTCAATTTAAAGACTTTAAAGTTCAACATCAACATTATCTAAATATTGTGTCTTAATCTATGACAATCAACTGTTTGGCTTAAATATAATAGGTTTTTATTATGGATCATTTTGGAATACGTTTTGTTTTGCTCTTATTTTTAATGGTAAGTTGTCTGTAACTCTTGTTTATTTGTGACTTCTCAATAACATATGATATGCAGCGGAAACTTTTCCGATATTTTCAGGGAATCGACTTTTTCCCATCATATCTACTATTTTTTTCCACTGCGTTTTCCACTTTAATCCCCTAAGCTCACCAAATGTACCAAACTGTAACCACTTTCTGTCTATGGTCAGTATGAACTTTCCTATTGCCAAGAATTGAATTTGGAAAGTGTTGGATTATTAATATTTGGTGAATGGGGTCGGGTGGACAATTTGATGCAAAAAGTGGTGGATGTGACGGAAAAAAAGTCGAACTCCTTTCCGCTAACATTGATTACAGAAAGTTTATTTTATTTTTTGAAGCTAAATGTAATATCAGTGTAGAAACCTTTAACCAAAGTCAAAAGAAATAAATATCAGTAAAGACGTAAAAATGTTTTACAGATCTTGAGCGGCTGTATCAAAACTTACGAGACTCGAAATTTCTCATATTTAGTGAACAATACTGTGCATTAAGTCATTGAATGCTTATCCTTTGATTTAAATACATGTATTTTACGCTCTCCAAGATTAAAAAATGAAAATTTCCCTTAATAGTTTCAGTTGTTAGGTGAAAGAGGCCAAAAATAGCCAAAATAACATTAAACTCAAAAATGGACTCTAATCTACAGTCAAAATATTGGTAAACAGAAACGAACTTTGTGAAATATTATCAAATCACAGATTATTAGATAATTAGATAGCTGGTTGTTGGCTCGAAAGCTATTAAATTGCATACCGTAAGTGAATATGACTACTGTTTTGACTAATGTTTCAAAACTTAATTGAGTCAGTTAGGCTAGACTTACAGACCCCACTTAACCGTTGAAATAAAGGTGGACTTGTCAGTTGCATAATGCCTGTAAGTCTAGTCTAACTGTCTCAATTGTGTCTTGAAAAATAAGTCCAAAACATTAGTAGTCATAATATCATAATAAATTGATGAACCTTGAAAAATCAACAATAATGTTTAGCTGTCTTCTAGATAATAACTCTCAATATTTTATATCTACTATGATCTCATGTACTACAGTGATGAGCATATTGTAATTATAGCGATGATGATAGTCATGAAATAAGTGAAAGGATTTTCCCAAGTCTAATATTATTGTTCCTTTGTTCAAATAATCCCATCACACAATCTGACCTTGTCCACAACATTAATTTTAGTCTTGTCTTAATGTTTCGTTTTGTTTTACACACAAATTATCAAAAGTTTTACAATCTTATTCAACATTTAGCTCATGATTAACAACAAAATTTATTAACGAGAAAAAATTAACTGTGTTCTTATGAAAATTTGTATTTCTAACTGAAATATCTGGTATCTTATGTGTGACCATTTTGGTTGCTCTTAATTTAGGTTACTGTCTCAGGACGAACTTGGAACTTTTTTGCCTTAAATTCACCCAAACCATGTCAATCATCAGATGATTGTAGACGGGGTGAATGTTGCGCTATTGGTAAGTAAACAGTCTTTTATCAAGGTTATTCTTATGATGATTCAGTCCATCAATGAAACCATCCTCAACAGTTTAAATTGATACCTACTAATTACAATGTATGTCTTTTTGTGTTTAAACGTTGGTGTCTTTCAATGGTGTTTCCCATATTCATCAATATTTTTACCATTTTATCCTACAAAGAAAAAGATATTTCAATGATTAATAATAATTTATTTATGTTATTTTTAAGGTTTTGCCAGATTCAGTGTTCCAATGTGTAAACCAATGGGTAGGATTAACGATTGGTGTTATCCAGACAATGAACCAGAAAATATGACACTTCATTATCCATATGGATCAGAGACTTACACCAATGTTCATCGGAACTTTTGTCCATGTAAACAACCTCTCACTTGTGAACAAAATATTTGCAAATTTGAAAGATTCAATTATTATTAACTTTTCGTAAAATTCAAGTTATACATAAAGATAAATTTCATCTCGATTCTAATTTAGTTTTGTTTATTGCTCCAAAGATGTTTTGAATTGAATGCTTTTTGTTTTATTAACAGATTCAGAACCACTTAGGCTCAATTTTATAAAGATTAATATTCAGCGCAAATTATTACATGGACTTGTCTGCACAAATATTTAACGTAACCAACAGAATGTTTGTTAATCAATCAAGCTGACTCAACTATTGAAAAAGGCGCTTTGAATGATCACTAAATGCATTGTCCAATCAGTGCACACTTATCCACATTGAGGATTGCATCATTTGCTCTTTTTTGTTTTGGTCCGAAATGACTATCCCATTGCTTGTCAATTGTTAAAATTCAATGTAAATCATTTTAGATTAACTTATTTACTTCTAGGTTCTAAAAATATGTTTTTTTATCATCATGTTTACCTTTATTCTTTTTATTTCTGCCATTTGTATTTTTTGGCTTTATGTCGCTTTATTTGGCGTCCTTTCTGATAATAAGTGTTCAAAGTGTGATCAATGTATGATTACTAATGTAAGTATTATCGTTAATCATCATTTTCTGTTGTTATGAAAACTCTAAATTGGAACTTATCTATTATAGCTTCTCCGTAACCTCGTGGAAACATACCAACAATATCCATATGAAGAAAGAAAAAGAAGCATCATGTTTGAGCTGCGGAGGCAGATGCTGTATATACCGATGCCTATTAGATGCGAATGTAGTTCTAGAATACTTTTAAGTATTGCTAAAATAAATCAATCAAACGCTGACTTCAACCAGAATTAGCTCTTTGCAATGAAAAATTCAATTATTATTAACTTTGTTAAATTCAAATTTTACAAAGATAAAAAGGACATTTCTTCAAAGTCTGGAGCCCTTTTTGTAAAACGGTACTTTCACTTGATTCGGATTGTTTTGAATGTGAACAATGTCAATATTTATGGAACTCAGCAATGATGTCAACAATTATTTCTCGATGCATCCATTAATCCATACATCTCCATTACTTTATTAGTGCTATCATAATAACTTCCTTTTTTGCCCACTTTTCCATTGTGATTCTCTCTATCATCTTTTGACTCTGTTTCCTGTACAAAAGAGAGATCAAGGAGAAAGAGAAAATGAAAGTGTTTTTATCCCGCAACATTTTAATACAATAATGCTTTGTACGAACCATTTCGCGCTGCGAACCCCAACTATGTCTCTACAAGCTTATCCTCTTTTCCCTCCTAACCTTCATCTTTCCTCGCATAACCTTTCAAGATTTTGTTTCCTCCAATTTTGGTCTATCTAAATTCATCATAATCACATCATAGCCAGCATCTAAATGTAATTCCTATTAACCTTGATCGCTGAAACATTCCCGGTTTTCATCACATCCATTTAACTCAAAGATTATTTCAAACCAAAAGTTGGACTTACTGTTGTTTTGGCAGCTAATTATTCCCAGTTTTGGCTGCCCAAAAATTGATTCACCTTTTAGTCAACAGAAATCTCAAACATATCGGACTGATTCCAAACAATAGATTTCATTAAAGATTATATTCAACTTAATTAAAGGCAACCAGCGTCTCAACCTAAACCAACTCAGGACTACATTGGTGTTGTACATATCGGTGTATTTACCTGCTACTGAAACCAAGCCTATCTTATTTTGGCCTCTTCTTTAATATTAAAATGGGTGAACTAATAATTTCCGAATTACACCTTAAAATTTTCTTTGATCTACTTCCTCCTTTTATGCATTGGTTTATATGTAGCTACAAGGAAAAAACAGGAATATCTTTAAGAAAGGTTAGGTCTTCCGGAAGGTAACCTTACAAAAAGGGCCAAATAGTACAATATGAGGCTATGGGCTCTTCCCCTCTTTCCGTGATCTATCCTTCATCTTCTTCGTCATCACATCTTCGTCCTCTTCTTGCTTTCTTGAAAATGCAAGAGACAAACGACAGTCTAGTTAGGATGAAGAGAGATATCCTCTTTCTTGACTTCCTCTCTTCAATCTTCAACTATTTTCTTCATCTCATTTTTTCTCCTCTTCATTGACTTATTTCCCGGTCGGAAGGACTAACCTAACTCTCTCTTTCTCTGTCTTATGAATCTGGACGGAAGTAAGGTTGACCTCTTGAGGCTCGAAGATATTTACATCCTTTTGCGCCTCTAACGAACCACTGCATAAGACTTGAGTCTATCATTTGTTAATAAGGCTCATTAGTGGTTAAAGTCCATCATCAATATGTGACATCCATCTTTATGCTCCTCGTTAATAGAGTATTAATTACATTGAGTAATTGTAATACACATAATTAAAGATCCAATTATCTGGTAATCTAATTAATAGCCAGGCCGTATATCAATATCAACTATTGATACATCCATTAGTTGGTGTAATAAGGCTCAACATTTCAAGATCACAAAAATGAATGTCTTTGAAACAATATTTTGTGTAAAAAAATAAAAGGCAGTTTCATTACTGAAGTTGTATTTAAAATTTTGATTTATTGGTTTATTAATGGATTTACAAAACGATGATTTAAAATTTTCATGAAAATCGGCGTTTATTAAATAAATAACTTTGAAGATGCTGATATTTACAAAAGATGAAATATTAGAGTAATTTATCGGGGTTGAAAATCAGATTTATCGCACCATTGAATGCATCTCAAATAATTGAATTCAAGTTCAATTTCGCTTACTATAACCTGAAGATATACAATTTTTTTGTACTTTGGTCTTTACAAATGTATGATGGACCAAGTTAAATGGTCAAATCCAAATCCATGATGATTGAAGTTTAGGAGTGTTTAAACAATGTACAAGTTTTCATGGACAATAGGTGGTCACTATTTTGTTGAAAGTTTCAGCTAACAGCAATGCAGATAAAATTGTATATTTTATTATGGTTTTTCAATCAAACCAGATTATACCTCTTAAGAAAATTGGGTTCCTCACAGGATAAACATTCATCATTACTTTGGTTTATTGGTTATGGTAAACCAACATTGGTTATTGGTATCTGAATCCATGTCTAAATCTTCAGGACATTAACGATGTACAATCGATACAACGCCTGGCCATGGTTTAGATCTTCACTTAAATTATATTTCGATTAACTGCAGACTAGAATTGATTTCGCTCATGTTATACTCGTCACTTTGGGAACGCAGCTTGTCGTTCACTCGTGATTATGACAATATTCGCACTGCTCTCAATTTATCGGATGAAGTATTTGATAACCTTTTGCTCAACATACTGTTTCTTATTTTAAAAAGATATTGGAAACAGTAATGCCAGAATCTAAGGATGACACAAGTAAGTAGCATTAAACGTAGGTTAGTTTTCCCCATTTCTGGTGGAAAACTTTTACAATCATAAAAATTTCAAGGTGTCATACTGAACAATATTTTTTCTTCATATTACTTTTTTTAGGTAATCATCTTTGGATGCCAGAAACAATGTCAATGAACTGTATAAAAAAGATTTTTCAAGATTTGGCTGAATCTAATTACACTCCCTATCGTGGAAGACTTCATTGTGGAAGTTTGAGTGGTCCAATCATGTTATTCCCAACTTTAGAAGGATATGTTCAAAATAATGATTTTGAGATAATCAATATTCAACCATCTAGTGATATAACCATTTGTGGATTCATGAATATCAACGAAGTCTCAAGTCCACCGGTTCATAGTCGCCATTTGATCTTCAGTACTCCTTTGACTAAGGATGAATTACAACGATTCCATTCAATCCTAACATTTAAAGATAGCGCAAATTTTGATTTAAATGCTTCAACAACTTTTGACATGGAAGAAGCTCTTAATTCAATACTAACCGATGAAAGCAAACAACCATCTTTATGTGTATTACTTCATGGAGCTCTTAAAGTCGAAGGAATGGTTGCCATATGTAAACTTGCACCTAATTGGTATGGTATGATCTACTCTTGGGCTGACAGTAAAAAGAAATCAAGTTTAATGTTTTCAACATTCAATGCTGGAACAGATTGTGTCTCTTGGCTTGGTAATTTATCAATGTTAGGTTTACCTCAGTTAAGTGTAAAAGGAGCAGTTCAAGAGCCTAGTAAAAGCAATGAACGTAAAAGTTATTCTTCATCGTGTGTTGTTTGGATTAAACAATCAAACCTTCAATCTGATATTCAAAAAGTTTTACGATTGGCTAAAAAATTACCTGAAATGACACCAAACTGTTGAAAAGATGAAACAGACTTCGAAAAGCTACCCTTGTAACTTGGGTTCTACTAAATGATACATTTATTTTACTTTATGGACTAGTTCGTATACAAATTAGCTTATGCAATGTGGTCAGTAAAAGATTCTAGAGAAAATCCTGTAAGGTTTAGAAAGAAAAGAAATAAGATTATTGTGATAATGATTATTTAATTATGAAGATGAATGCAAAAATGACGCTGATTGAATAAAAAACTTACAAGTTTACTGATGAAGAAACTCCAAAACTATTGAAATTAACACACAATTTTACAGTAAAAGCAAAGTTGTTTCATTGAAATTGATGATATTATATAATATGCACAACAGTAACATGGTAAATGTAACACGATTAAAATTGATTGATGACAATAGCTGTTGAATGACAAGAAAGGTAATGAAATGCGTTCACTTTTTTCACAATTCACTTTTCAGACGTTTCAATCTCTTTTTGCTACTGTTAGTTGATTTGAATTTTTTATCTTTCGGTGGACGTTGCTTTTTAGCCTCTTGAATAGATGCTTCAATCCATTGGAATAGGTACATTTTTTCCTGTACTTTAAGGTGTTCACGAATATTAACAACCACCGGATCTTCGGGAGATAATCCTTCATCCTCAATCAAATAGTTGATAGTTTCATTGGCACATGAACGAAATCCTTTGATAAACACTTTCATTTCTGCAAGAGAAAGATTTGAAAACTTTTTGCAAGACATTTGAACCATTTGAACTAATTACGGGTAAAAATGAAGACGCACAAATGTATGATGTTGATGGTAGGTTGAGTACAACACATCTGAAAGCGAAATAATACGCCAAAAGCAGATCCTAAGGAGAGAGACGGAGAGGGAAAGATAGAAGACGGAAGATAAGAAGAAGATAAAAGAGGCAGAAAATAGAAAGAAAGAAAGAGAAGATAAAAACAGAAGGAGCAAGAGTGGGGTGGCTATCCAGATGTCGGTCGTCTCTGTTTAAGGCCTAGGAGGGGAGAAGAAGCAAGATGAAGATTGAAAAAAAGGTAACTTTTCCTTGCATTGCTTATTCTGTTGACTGGCAAACTCCTTCTCCTTTATTTCTTGTGCCGTCTTTATGGTCATATGGTCTTAAGTTTAAATGGTTCAAGAAACCTAACAAGAAGATGAAGAAGAGAAAGAAAAGAAAAGAAAAGGTCAAAAGATGAAGGAACGTGCATAAGGTCTTAATGTGCACGCGACAGACGCGTGTTACAAACCTTTTTAAAAGAAACAAGTCTAATGTTTCGTTGAAAATGACCTTTGTTGGTTTAAACTTCTTCATATCATATGGTCAGCTTTGTTAGGTCTTGCGTAGCCTTAGTCTTTGCTTTGCATCTTTGACAATGTTTTTCCATCTTTGTCAACTCTAATTATCCAATGCCTTTAACTGCTATTCCGTTTTAATTACATTTAGACGGTTGAAACATCTTTCACAATTGACTTGGCAATATTTAAAATATGAAATTTCTGCTCAAATAAAAGGTGAAAATTTTTTAGGTTAGATGTTAATGAAGAATAGCCAGGGACCGATCAGAATTGTGCTTTAGAAGTGTGGATAAGTGTAACCATGAATATATGTATAGCTGGATTGAACGCTCCTTAAGCTTAAAATGGCCTTGATGGAGATCATTCGAGTTTAAGATGTTGCAGAGTTTAACATCTGCTCGAGTGTCCACAGGAGCAAGAAAAGAAAGAGAAGATGGAGAAAGAGAAGTGAGAGAAGAAAGATGAAAGAGAGATGAAAATGACTTGATGTGTGTTCATGTTGATGTTGCTGTTGTGTTGATCACCATCATCATCATCATCTAACCTAAACTTCTGCTGCTGCTGGCACTGGATTAGCTGTTTTTGTTAGCTGATTTCTGCTATTGCTTCAGCTTTTTCATGCTTCTTTCTTTCTTTTTTTCTTTCCTTTTCTCTTTCGGTGTAAATTTGAATTAGCTCAATGATATTGGTGACAATTTACTCATTTATTTATTGATCCCATTCCTTTTTATGCTTGTATGATCGTTTTTTATGCAACGGCAATTGTTTTGATTGCTAATTATCAGACACATTTGGGCTTTATAATGCACTTTTGCCTTGACTTTCGCTTTAGATATTTAACCTGGTCCAGCATCTGGTTATAATTAACGTCTTTGGCTCTTTGGTAACCTGCTTCTCTCCATGCACAATTATTATTAAACGTATTCCAATCTCTGTAGTGGTTTGCGAAACGAGAAAAACATATTATTAATGCTAGATTATTAACAAAAACTCCTCTGTTGATTATGAGAAGTATCAATCTTCTCGCATTCTCTAGATTCTAACACAAACTTTCCAAGAATCAACAGTTGACCTTTTCATGCACCTTTGTGCCAGTTGTATGAATTAAATATTTGATCCTATGAAAGCTACATGTAGTAATAGACTTGAGACCAAATTGTTAGGTTTGCCAAGATCATCGATATTTTGAGAACACGTAAAGCAATCGAGTAAAACCAAACTGCTTTCGATAACCTGGACCCAATCGAGTAATACTGCTTAATGCATTCATCTTTAAAAATCTCCTAAATGTTGTCTTGACACCAGGATTGAATTTCTGAAATAGAATAGATTACACTTATTCAAATGCATTACATAGCAGACTGAAGGAAAATATTACCTGATAAGTAAAGATGATATTTTTAGCATTATTACCAGTAAAGCTGATGGTCAATTAACATTATTTTAAAATACTCTGTTAATAAACACTTAAACATATCGTTGATGGTAGAATCGATAAGCTTTAATAAATAAACAAAAGACATTAAAACACAACTCAAACCTATCGTTTGGAAGCAAACAAATGAACTTTAAACTTCAATGATTTTAACGGTTAAAAGATTGACTTATGATGCAATTGTGCAATTTAAATTTTGAAGGATTATTTAAATAATAGATGGCAGTCATTTATTTTTCAATTTCACTTGTCCAATTAGAAACCCTGGAAACGGAAAGTTTAAAAGTAAAATCGCCAAACGATTTGCGAGGCTGCAACATTAACCCTCTCGCTTTGTTGAGTGCCCTGTCGTTCAGTGTTAATTAATTTTGTTCAATTCAGTTTCCTTTCTCTTAAGTGTTTTTTTGATTTTAATCAGAAAACTATTACTCTTTAACATGCCTCCAAAGAAGACCTACTATAGCGGTTATGTCCGAGAGATTCAAGGACCTCCAAGAGCTCAGCAATCTACCTCTAGAAGTGTTGTTTCCAGAGGACAAGCGCCAAGAGGAAACCAGTCTGGTATGGTTGTCTGTACTCGAACGACTAAGGTTGAAGTGACCACTCAGGAAACTTTCATCCAGTACCGTTAAAATTACCTTTTAATGGACTTGTGTTTTTCATATAGTTTCTATTGTTTCTTTGCATACTTTACCTTCTGCTTTTCATTTTCATGTTCCTAACTTGATCCAGTTTTAATTTTGTACTCTGAAGTGAGATTTTCTTGTAAATTATAATTCGTGGAATGCAGCTGATAATCACTATCACTATTATTTCTACCTCTTATTCTTATAAGTTAATCTCTGACTCTTATAATAATTGCTGTAAATCTGATTTTGTTCATCATTAATTCTTGTAAAATCTTTAAAATGCCTATCTCATTTCAACTAGAAACTCATATGAAAACCGTATTTATAAGCGGTTAATGTTGTCCAGCTTTGTTAAATGAAAAAAATTGTAATGTTCTTGAGAGCTTATTTCCCTTAAATAAACCGACAATTTAATTGTTCAGCATAAAAATTGGTCTTTTTTCAAAATTTAATCCAGGATCGGAATTATTCATGCAAAGGGTTATTCAAGTGTTCTAGTGTTATCCATGACCTTTGCTCATAGTCATTGACTAATAACTGGTGGAGATGCCATAATCATTGTCTCCTGACCAAGACTTTTCACAGCAGAGTCACAAGTCCAACGGTTTTTTGACGTCATTTGATCTCGGTTTACTTGAGCAAAATCTGTGACTAAGCATTCCATTCAAAGTGAGATTTCAAGGCACAAATGTACCAAGACTCAATGTCACATTGGGATTCTTCCAGAGCTGGATTTAATTGTAACATCTTTGCGAGCTATTTTTTCAAATCAATCAAAATTAAACAATGGTGATTGGTTAGCTCAAGCCTGGTTAAATGCAACAAAAAATGACACGAAAGCGAGTTGCATCTTAAAAAACTCAATGTCCATCTGTGTACTGATTTGGCGCTGGAAATTTGACTTTACCCTCAAAAGCTTTCAAATGTAAAAACTAAATGAAGAGCTTATAGCTTAATTGCCACATAGGAATTATGGTTAACACAATCTGTTTGGATTTGGTATCAAAATGTCAACGGCTAATTTAATCTCAAAGTTGCATCATGATCCTGGGATCGAAACTGTTGTTTTCAAGGATTATAAAATTGATTGACATTTCAATCGTTCAGCACATGAACGCCTGGTAAATGGAAAAAATATGTCAATCAGACAATATTCAACACAAAAAATGTAGCCTTTCGAAGCAAACGAAAATTTGTATAAAAAGAGTCGCTTTTCCATCGAAATAATCATTCATTGGAATAATCCAGTTTAGAATTGTTCATCGAACGGAATTCTCATCCTCAACCAAATCAAAATGCGTTTCACCATTGTCTTGGCTCTCTGCTTCATTGGAGGTAAGATATAACTCAAAGTCTTGTATCAAATATCATTTCTAACCCTTTCCATCTATTCCTTACAGCTGCCTCTGCTAGTTCATTGAACAAGCGAAGCTTCCTCGATGATATCCAGAACAACACTCAAAATGCTTTCCACGCTTTTGAACGTAAGTATCTAGCTTTATTAACCTGAGCTAGTTAAATAACGATATATCTTCTTTATAAATCTTTCAGAATTCGGCCAAACTTTCAATGAGAAGGTCCAAGAAGCCCTCAAAAACTTACTCAGCGCTTTCGGAAACAGTGAGTTATTAGACTAAAGATTATAACATGAAAGCATACAAAAATTTAATGGTTTTGTTTTTTATTCATTTCAGAGAACTCATCTGCTGAAGCTACAGTCAGTGTATCTAAGCGAGCCACCAACCCACTTGTGCTCATCAATGATCTCAGTGACCCAGCTAAGTTTGCTCAAGATTTCTTGAAGGTTCTTGCTGATATGGCTACTGGACAAGGCCGACGAAAGCGAGATATTTTTGAAAATCTCCAAAGTAAGTGGCTCATCAGATCTTTTCCTTTAATATCACGATTTTAACCTTTCTTCTCGCTCTTTGTTTCTATCAGAGTTCTCCGATGAAGCCAAAAAGAACGCTGAAGAAGCTCTTAAGAAGCTCTTTGACCTCTTTGAACAATTGAAACGTAAGTTATTCACCATTAATAAACAATGCAGAGGATATTGTGTTCAAACATGATAATTAATTTAAAATATCTCTTATAACTAGCCCAATCCAGTGAATCAACTGAAGCTCCAGTCGTTGTTGAAAAGCGAGCCACCAACCCACTCGTTCTCATCAATGACCTCAGTGACCCAGCCAAGTTTGCTCAAGATTTCTTGAAGGTTCTTGCCGATATGGCTACCGGACAAGGTCGACGAAAGCGAGATGTTGCTGAAGACCTCAAGAGTAAGTCACTCGATAGATGACTTTTTTACCATCAATATCAACTTAAAACCTAATATCACAAATTATTCTTTTCAGAGTTCGCCGATTCTGCCAAACAAAACGCTGAACAAGGTCTTGCTAAGCTCTTCGAGTTCCTCGAACAATTCAAGGCTCAATTTGCTCGTAAGTATTAATAATCAAAAAGTACTGGAATTAAATTAACCATAAACTGTTTTCATGTGCAGATGATCAAACCGATGCTGAAAAGGTTGTTTCAAAGCGAGATATCCAAGAAACCATCGAAAGTAAGCTCTAATTATTACGCTTAGTCAATTTACTTACTAACAAAATTTTTCTTTTTTTGTATAGAGTTCAATGAATTAGCCCAAACCAAGGCCCAAGAAGCTTTCAAAAACATCAAGCAAGCTCTTGACGATTTGTTCAGTAAGTAATTCAGCAAATGGAATCAATTTTGAGTAAATCTAACTTTATTGGTTTCACTATTGAACAGAGGGAAACCCATTCTTCCAATCCATCTCCAGCCACTTCAACAATGGTGAAGATTCAACTGAAAAGACCGTTTCCAAGCGAGACATTTTTGACAACTTTGAAAGTAAGATATCAACGACATTACCAATAAGAAACTGAAATCTAATGAAATAATTTCTTTTCGTTACAGAGTTCAGTCAAAATGCTTTCGAAAACTTCAAGCAATCTTTTGAACGATTCTTCAACCAATTCTCAAATGATGACGCCGAAGCTGAATCCTCCACTGAATCCGATTAAACAACGAGATAGTTAACAGTTTTCATAGCTTCTTAGCATCTTTCTTCAGTACAATTCAATTCAGTGAAATGTTTTACACAATTTTCATTTGTAATTGATCCAGCATCAAATACCTCTGATAATTTATCTGTCAAATGTAGTATCAATAAAAATTCTGTAATCAGCATCTTCCTGTAATTTCCTCATCCATTTGCCCTCTGAATGAATAAATAAAACAGAACCGTATCAATTTAAATTGCAAATTACAAAATGTTCAACTTTTTTCAAAAATAACTTAACGAGTTTTTACGTGCTTTTTTTCAGAATGAAGATGAACAAACTAGTAAGCCTCAATTTAAAATTTCATAAAACAAAGCGAATTATTATTTTAATCTTATATTTTATATTAAATTGAAATTTTAGTGCTTTCGCTGTAAATCATGAAAAAAAGTTGACCAACAAATGGTCAGAATTACAGAGTTGCAAGAAGTTTCTGATTTTCAAATTTGCTTTACAGATGCATTTGTATCGCCATCTCTTGTAAATTTAAAACACTAACAATTGTAAGCTTAATTATTATGATTATGGTTACTCTTACAAATCGTACGATGTGTTAGAAAGAAAGATTTATTTAAGAGTTATTTTATTAATTAGCTCAGATTTTTTAGGTATTAAATTATATAATGTTATAGCCATGACAAAATCTAATGATTTCTCAATGAATTATGATTTTAGGTCCGCCATTCTCGAAATATTCAGGATCAAAGTTTCCGTCCATTGGTCAAAATCAAGAGAACTGTCGATAAATTGAAAAAAGTGTGCGATCGTTGACGTTTACCAACAACTTTTATCGACAAATAATAATTTCCAGATCTCTAACCTTTACGGTCACAGAATGAGCCGGGTTTAACTGATCTTGTTACATGAAACAAAAATTTTATCTCGCAAAATGTGAGTGAATTTTCTCGATGACCATCAAATTTGCATCAGAAAAATGATTTTAATCAAAAAAATCTGATTACACAACTGTACAAAAGGTGATCGAAGTTTCAACTTTTATCTTAAGCACTGTCGATCGAAGAAATTTTTTAATGAAACTAATGGATTCAGTTTTCATGCACCCACAAACACAGTCTCAAATCTTAATTTAAATGTTCAAGTTTCTGACCCTGTTCCATAGAGTCTAAACAGACGCGCCTTACTTCAGGGCAAATAAACAATCTACTACATATTCAAGGATTAGAATTTGTCAGATATTTTTTTGTACGAATAGGCCTTAACCCTACTTGTATTTATCTGAATGCTAAATGTTTACAAAAATCAACATTGTTTCATCTCACTCTACCTTTCTAAAGATTAAATGAATGGTTTGCCTTCTCTGGCCTCTTTTAACAACCTGGCATGAACATCGTGATATTGTTTCATAGCATAATAAACAAAACCTACACCTTGTGCAACATTTAGAGTTGAAATGAGCAAAAATGTGAGCATTATATTCTTATTGCCAATAGCTTGACCAGTTATTTTCAACGCTTCTTTGAAAGAAGCCCAATTTTTTAAGGTATCAATTGGAAGAGGAATTCCAGGGTTATGCATAGCACTGAAAAGTGATGCAAGAATCGAGTTGATAGATGGAATTAGAGCTGTACATAAGAATTGATAGGCACCAGTACGAATGAGATGACATTCGGCACAATAAACTTCACCACGAACGATTTGATTAAGTTGATTGGTCAAAATTACGTAGCCACTAATTCCAGCAAATCCTACGGTTGTTGAGACAGCAATAATCGGGTTGAATCGAATAACTTTCAATGAACTGCGAACCAAACGAAGAAAAGGTACTTGCGATAAACTAGAGACAAATATCGTCGCCCATGGACTCATAGTAAATCCATTCAGGTCAGATTGAGGTTTCCAAAGACGAGATAAATTGTCAAATTTCTCTTCACGGACTTCAGGAAGGTCATTTTCGAAAGGAAACCTAATGCAAGAGACAAATTGAAGATATTAAAAAGGTTTGTTATTGTATAAAATTAAAATTGTACATACAGATCTTCAAATTTTGTGGAAGAAGCAATGGTGGTTTTACCGACTTCATCTTTAGGTTTACTCATCCATATTTTCAGCTTTTTTTCCACTTTTTCAAAAAAGCTCGGTTTAGTTGAATCAGAATCTGAGGCCATTCTCCAAAAATGAAGAATTTAATTAACTAAGGATTTAAAAAAATTATAGTAACATTGAATAATACAACATGTGTTGTGATCAAGTTTACTTGAAACCCATGACAACCGAGAGCAAGATTTTTCAAACTTGGCGGTAGTTTTGCGCAGACAAAATTTTGCTTGAAAACTGTGCGGAAACGGAAGATGAGTGAAAGATTGTAAAAGCATTTTTGATTTTTGTTTAGTGTTAAGGTAAAGTTAATTGGATCATAGTTTTTCGTATTTGGGAAACAGTTTTTTACTGTAAGTTAATTATTAATGTTCTAGTTTTTATCAATTTAATTAATTTGATATCATTTCTGTTTGTTAGTGTTTAGTTAATTTAATTAAGATGGCTGTTCAAAAAGCAAAACCAGCAACCAAGAAGGAACAACCAAAGGCCGGCGGAGACGCTGCTGGAAAATCCACTGCTGGAACATCAAAGGCTCAACCAGCTAAACCCAAAGCAGCCAAACCCGCTGCTGCCAAGAGTACTGCTGCTGGAAGTAAAGGAGCTCCAGGAAAAGTCCCCGCTGTCGGTAAAGCAGCCAAAGGTGCTAAGGCCGGAGCCGCAGCCAAAGGTGCCAAGGCCGGAGCTCCAGCTAAAAGTGGTAAGCTTCCAGCTCAATCTGGTAAAGGTAAAGCTCCTGTGACTAAGGACAAGACCAAGGCCGCCGCTGCTGGTAAAGGTAAAGCTGCTGTTCAGAGCAAAGATAAGAGCAAGACCGCCGCTGGTAAAGGTAAAGCTTCAGCCAAGACAGTTTCAAAATCAAAATCGGCCGCTGCTGCAGCTGCTGCTAAGATTAAGGCTAAAGCTAAGGCTTTGAAAACCGCTAAGAAAGTGACAAAGGGTGTCTACACCAAACGTGCAAGGAAAGTTAGAACCAGTGTCCACTTCCATCGACCATGGGTTAAGCATCTTCCAAGGAATCCTAAATACGAAAGGAAAAGTGTACACAAGAGGCCTAGACTGGACAAATTCTCTGTCATTAAACATCCATTGACTACTGAATCAGCTATGAAAAAAATTGAAGACCACAACACTCTTGTTTTCATTGTAGACCTTAAGTCTAATAAGCCTCAAGTTAAGATGGCTGTCAAGAAATTGTATGATATTGGTGTTGCCAAAGTCAACACAATGATTCAACCTGACGGTCAAAAGAAAGCTTATGTAAGACTAGGTCCAGATTATGATGCTTTAGATGTAGCAAACAAGATCGGTATCATATAAACTATGTTCTTTTGGATATTAAATTAAAGATGGTTAATCATAACCCAAATTAATGTTTCCATTTCTTCCTATCCAAAACTGGCTCTTTAACTGAAACATTTTTGTGACTGAGCCATAAAAAATGACCTCACGTCAAAAGATTTAACAGGCAATTGAGCTCATAATTCCATCCATAAATGATCGTCGTGTGAAATATTAACCTGTTATCGTGTGTATTTTAGAAACTGCTAATGTTATATGGTAGTGGTAGTGGTTAGACATTTATGACATTACAGCATTCAAGTCAACGAGTAAACTCATTTCCTCGCCTGTTAATTTTATTCAATTGTCACCAATTTTTTTACTCATTGTTTGTTTGCAAGTATTGTAAAGAGAAATAGAGATCTGATTGTGCTGTTTAATTCTGTCCTTTTTTTTGTATTGCTATGTCTTGAGTACAAGCCTTTTGGATCAAAGACGTCGTCTGGTAGAAGCTCTGTCCATTAAAATTTATCTCCACGAGGAACATCGCCATTTCTCTTTACTTGACTCAACCGGTGCGCCAAGTGCTTGAAGTACTTCATGGTGTCAACTTGCCACTTGACATTAAACCTTTCAGTTTTCACATTCAGCATTTAATGTATCCAGAATAAAAATGAGCATAACTTAGCAGCCAGCATGACTGTGAAACAATTCAAAGCTTAATACATCTTTTAATAGCTGAAAGTGAATTAACAATAAGAATATTTGAAACTTTTACTTCTATTTTTGAACATTTCGATTATATTGTAGTCTCTCACTCGATCGTTTTCGGTTTAAATGTGCCGCCTTAAAATAACTATTGATATCAAGTATCATCGTTCGCAGATGGAACCAATAATCCTGTAAAGAGCAAAACAATGAGAATCTTTATCACAAAACTCGGAAAGTTTAGGAAAGTTAGAAAGTTTTAAAATTGTCAACCATAACTTTAATTGTTTGTTTTATTGTTTTGTTCAGTTTTTATTTCTTTGTCATCTTTCTCTCTTTCTAATTACTTCTGTCCCTGTTTCTTGAGTGGTCAACGAGACTCATCCATTTTCATCGTTACATTCAATACTTTTCATTAAGTTTTTTATCTCATCATGAATGGTCCAGTTACTAACACAGAGCAGCCAGGAATTAGCCACTTAGGAGTGTATCAAAATTGTTTCAATAAATTCAAAGATGGATATGACACCCAAAATAATGGCCAAAACTATTTTGTTGGCTCCAACCAAGTTAACTTTGATTCCTATTCCTCTGAAGGATATAATGATTATATCAACACACCAGATGCTTGGAATGGTTCGACTGCTCAAAATTATAATTCATATTGTAACCAATCTCACCAACTTAATCCAACTTTACCCATCAATGTATCGGCTCTTCAAGGATCTGAAGGAACTGGTTCCTGGTCAACATCTTTCAATGGATACATGGAAGAACGATTGGATGATGCCATAGGTGTTCTTCAGAAACATGCAGAAAGCTGTAGCTACTCTCCTCAGATTGATTGTGATGTGGTATGTTATGAATAATTAATTGATTAAGCAAATTAATAATCTTTATGTTTTCGTTTTTTCATTTTTCTCTATCTAGCCGAGTCTATCATTCCCGAATCCCAGTCAAAGCAATACCCTTAACGTTACACCATTAAGTGTTCAACCTCATGTTCTGAACAATAATAAAGAAGAAGACTTTAAACCAGTAAAAGTTATCCGGAAGAAGAAGATTAATCGTAAAAAGGAACCCAACAATAATAAAAAATCAGCCTCAGGATATGCACATTTTTTCCGAGAACGTCAAGCTCGTATCAAAGAGGAAAATAAAACGGCATCATTCGGTGAAATATCCAAAATCGTTGCTTCTGAATGGGAAGCTCTGTCGAATAATGAAAAGGCTGTCTACAAGAGGAAGGCTGAGAATGAAAAAAACAATCAATTTAAGGACATTGCCTTAAACCATGCTATGGCCGTTGCTGGTATTAAGTAAAACTTTCAAAATGTTCCGTATTTTCATGATTAATATTGATAATAACAGCTTCTAAAAATCTTTTTTTTGTGAAATTTATTAAAAAATTCAAACTAATTATCATTCAAATCCAATAATGACAATAATGATGTTAATGAACTTAATGTTAATTTTTTGGCAATAAACTAACATAAGTAGCAATTAACAGAATTAACAGATTAAAATTTTCTACCTAAAAAACTATCGACACTTAACTGTTTATGTTGAATAACCTTAAGCGGTTTAAATGATCGGTATATAGCTGTGAAAAAACAGTCTGAATAATTTAGTTTATATGTTACTATTGTGACAAACTGTTCAACAATTGATCTGAAGTCAAGCTCTATATCCCTACCTTTTTTACCTTTATCATATTTTTGCCTTCACAATTATGGCTCACAAAACTGTAAGTACTTCTGAATGGTAGAGTCGACTGTTTACTTATTTTACTGATTTTTCTTCATATTTTTTTCAGTCCAAAGATCTCAAATCTAAAAAGAAGCAAAGAAGTGCTTCGTCGAAGCTCAGAAAACAACCTGTGACTATTGTACACTCCCAATCACGACCCCAAACACGACTCCAATCACGACGAGACAACAAAGTCTTTTCAGTCCAAAGATCTCAAATCTAAAAAGAAGCAAAGAAGTGCTTCGTCGAAGCTCAGAAAACAACCTGTCCAATTATCGGACAAACAGCTGAAAAAAGTGTCTTGGACGCGCACCCGGATGTCTTTTTGAATCCTAAACAACCCTTTGGCAATATACAGCCTTTAGGAGTGTCATAAGTTTCCTACATCTTAATCAATGTCCAATTATCGGACAAACAGCTGAAAAAAGTGTCTTGGACGCGCACCCGGATGTCTTTTTGAATCCTAAACAACCCTTAGTTGAAACTATAATAATATCTGATGACGATATTCGTGAACAAGAAGAGGTAGTTAACTCACTGCGACGTGAATTGGCCTTAGCGTTGCAGGATTATGAAAATAGTAAATATTGTAAATACCAATAATCTATATCTATACCATATATAAAGTCAAAACATGAAATTTTCGCGTAAAGATTGTGGCCAAACTAAAAGGATTCTAAAGAAAAATTTTTCACAGCCTGAAAGTCATGATCAGACTACATCCACGAAAAATAGTCAGAACTTTATCGGAATTCAGGTACCTGAGAAATTGGCGTTTGAACAGGGTAGGGGAAAAAATGCAGAATCTGTATCTTTTACCATTGACTTCGGGGGAAAAATTTTTGGTTGTTCAGGTTGATTGTTGGTTTATTGTTAAATAAGAAGGATAGGTAAAACCATTTTTCGAGCAAAGAGTTAGGTAAAAAATATGTTGCCTCAACTGTTGAACCAGGTTTTATTTTATTTTTCCTCATTGACAATGGTTTTTCATCAATAATTTCAGTCTTTAAATGTGGATTGGATTTTTTGTATTCAGTGAAAAGAAATTTACGATCAGTCATGATCGTGGCTCAGCTTGTATTAATAATTGTAATGCATTGTATACAACAAAACTTTTCTGTTGAATCGACTTTTTTTTTACTTAATGTCTTTCTTATATTCAAATAAAAGTGATTTATAACGACTTGAGTTTATATTTCAATTTATTTATCGGGTTAATTTTATTTCATTATTCTCTATACAATTCTTATTGGATCGTAACTAAGACTCGGCTTTTCAATCAAAATCAATCGTTCGAGCTTTTGGCAGTACTTTTTGCATTTCATTTGCAAGTTTAACCAGAAAATTGGTTTATTTGCCAAGAAATGGTTTAAGATGAGTTTATTTTGTTCAATAAGTTGTTGCTCGTTGATTTAAAACACAAACGTCAAGACCCAAATGCGCTAATTGAAAGTTTTTAAATTGCATTTAATTATTAAACAGTAAAGAGTTAAATTGGTGATAGAATGATGATTTTGGGTACTACCATATTCGAAATATTGAGGCACAAAGTTTTAAGACCAATGGCCAAAATAAAGAGTACTGTTGTTAAATTGTCAAAAGTATTCAATCCATGATGCTAACCAACTATTTTTATGAACGCATAATAATTTAAAATGAACGATCTCTTGTTATTTTGCATCTTAGATCATTTTCGCGATTATGAGATTTATGTTACTGAATAAGTTGTTGAATATAAATATTATAATAATATAATGCTAAATATCGTTTATTATTATGCAGAGGTTTTCAAATTAAGTATTGTATCAATCAATGAATAATTTTTAAGAATTGACATGGGAATTTTGTTCGGGATTAGGATCAACAGCGCAAATTGCGAATCAAATTTTATCGTTAATAGCTTATTGTATGATTTAAATCAACAATTCTGGACCATTTCAACAAGTTTAATGTCATGGATTTCAACCGAGTCTAATTTATCAACCAGATTTTTGACAATATTGTCTTCTAATGTTGGTTTCCTTGAAAGTATCCAAACATCACCTAAAAATCATAAAATAAAATTGATATTTGAATGGAACTTTTGATTTAATTAGGATTCAGTGAAATATTAATACTTACGGGAGTTTAGGAGATCAAGGACATCGTTACATGAGACAACTAGGGCATAATTATTGTAATCAGTGTCAACAACCCAATATTGTGTGGTGAGGAAATAGAAAGCGGCTAAATTTTAAGAAACACGGAGTTAAATTTTGAATATTCACCATTTTCTGATCAGATTTTGTAAAACTTAGTGAGAGAGTATTTGGCTGTGAAGACGTTGTCTTGAACATATGACTTGGCGAATTGAACTCTTGAAACTGTTTCGTTGAAAATATCAAAGCCAGTGCTGTTAGTAACAAAGGTACCAGTAGTTGTGTCAAACTTATAGTCGGCTTGAAGACACCGTAGGCCATCTTCGAAGTATGGTTTGGTTGACTTCAGTACATACCAAATACCGAGGTACTGTTGAAAAAAGAAGACAAATCAATAGTTTAATTGTAATATGACATGACTGACTGTGTTTCATTTCAATCAAAAAATTCTCACTTGATTAAGGTCAAATGGTTGTGGAAGTCGATTGGGTTCAGGGCAATTACCAGGTTGAATACTTGTCTTGACCGATCTGTTGCATTCTTGACATTCAATCGCAAAGACTGAGGCAAATGAAAATGCAAAGACACAGAGAGCGAAAAATTGTTTCATTTTTTATTGTTAACGAGTTAACTTATTATGTTGAATAAACTGACAAATGATCTATAAATAAACAACTAATGACAAACGTCGTTCCTCACTCATCTTATGTACCTAAATCTAAATATTTCATCAAATTATTCATTCTATCATCTAACCATAGATTCCCTCATTGATACTGGTCACGGGAATAATTATCATAATAATTTGCCAATAGTTGTGATACAAGGAGCATAGAGGAGATGAACTTGTGAACCATTTGAAATTGAAGGTGTTAGGTGTGCATGATTAGATCTCTTTCACAAACATGAGCTTCATGTTATTAAATAAGTTGATGAATATAATTTCAATGCTAAGTAATGTTTATTATTATGCTTAGGTTTCAAAATACAGCATTTCTAACAACAAAAAGGATAATTTTTTTAAAGCTTGATAGGTAAGTTTTGTTCGGAGATTAGGATCAATAGCGCAGAAATATCAGTAATAGCTTATTGTATCATTTAAATCAACAATTCTGGATCATGTCACCGAGTTTACTGCCATGAATTCCAACCGTGTCTAATTCAGCAACCAGATTTGTGACAATATCGTCGTCTAATGTTGGTTTCCTTGAAAGTATCCAAACATCACCTGAAAATCATAAAACAAAATTCGAATTTGAGTTTAAATTTTAGTTTAATTAAGGTTCAGTGAAACATAGATACTCACGAGAGCTTGCGAGACCAAAGAGGTCGTTACATGAAACAACCAGAGCATAATTATTGTAATCAGTGTCAACAACCCAATATTGTGTAGTAAGGTAATAACCGGAACCTGAATTTTAAGAAAGAAGAAATTAGATAATAATTTGAACTTTCACAGAATAATGATCAGAATTTAGTTTAAAACTTACCTAAAAAGTATTTGGCTGTGAAAACATTGTCCTGATCATATGATTTGGCAAATTGAACTCGTGAAACTGTTTTGTTAACTGAATCAAAGCCAGTGCTGTTAGTAACAAAAATACCAGTAGTTGTGTCAAACTTGTAGTCAGCTTTGATACAACGTTGACCATCTTCAAAATAAGGTTTGGTTGACTTTATTTCATACCAAGTACCGAGATACTGTTGAGAAAAGAAGACAAATCATTATTTTCATTGAAATATGAAATGAATGACTGTGTTTCATTTCAATGAAAAAAGTCTTACTTGATGGAGGTCAAATGGTTGTGGAAGTCGATTGGGTTCAGGGCATTTGCCAGGTTGAATACTTGTCTTGACTGATTTTTTGCATTCTTCACATCCAGTCGCAAAGACTAAGGCAAATGAAAAGGCGAAGACACAGAGAGCAAGAAATTGTTTCATTTTTATTGTTAACGAGTTAACTGGTTATTATGTTGAATAAACTCACAAATGATCTGTAAATAAAAAACTAATAACAAATGTCGTTTCTCACTCATCTTATATACCTAAATCTCAATATTTTATCAAATTATTTCTTCTAAATTCTAACAATATGAAATAAAAAGATATGATTACAATAGATTCCCTCATTGATATATTTTGCTTTTAACAAAATTCTCAGTAATTCGTTTACAATGATTTTTGAAATCGTTTAATTCAATTCAATTGTAGGTTGTACAGTAAAGAAAATTCTCAACACAATAAGTGTTGATAACACAATAAAATCGTGATATAATATCATTTGTTATGCCCAATCTGTAAATCGAAGCATAATAATTAATCTCTCATCCGATTCCTAATTGTTATGAAAGCATAATTATCTAATCAATACTTCCATCAAATTTCACATTCGAAGTCAGTAGATCAATTAGCATAGCACAGGTCTATTCAAAGCTATTATTGATAGATTTCTGAGAATTCCGTTGGAATGAAATACTGTAAAAGAGTCAATGTTGATATAACAATCAGTTAAACGTACCCCAAATCAATGAGTTAATCTAAAACCATTTTTATTTTATCGAGTAATCCATATCATGCTAATGAGCAAATGTATTCATTCAGTTATATCAATAGAAGTAAACAAATAAAACTTAATACTTGACCTTATTTAACCAATTATTGAGACCAATATTACCATAAAACTTGACTCTCATTGACTTTCAGTTCTAATAATGTATTCACACGAGGTTAAAGATCTGACCGCAATAGAGTTGAATCAAGTCAACAATTTTGAATCTCAGTTTGATAGAGCAATTTGAAATCGAATTGAATCATTTGAAAAATTAAAATTTGTTGATTTTGCAAACCAAATAATAAATTTTACCAGTTTTGTTCATTGGCAATTTGCTCTAAATCATTTAGCAGAATGCTCAAATTGCAATTGTATAAAATAAATGAAAAAAAGAGCAAGAAATTGACGTTGTTTCCATTTTGACAGCTATTTTCTGGAAAACTGTCTGCTCGGAGAGCTTATTTAATAGCATTAATGGACTCAGTGTTTGGGACTCCACAAACTCGCTCTGATTAGTTTACCATTAGGGCTTCTGCCAAATTGTGTTCAACTGTTTCAGATCAAAACCCTTCTTACAGAATCATAACTGGCTTGTTCGAGTCCAATGATCTTTTAGTGTTATTTCATCTCGGTTCCCTTAAACAAAATCAAATCACAAGGCATTTGCTTAACTCATACATGATTAGTTATAAAAAATGACTAAAAAAAAGCCAGTTTCAACTTGAAAATACGACTTGTTACAGAACTAAATAAATGAAATGTTCATTTATGCACTGAATCAGCATTTGAACAAATCTGACTTTAAACTTTTACAAACTACTTTTAAAGATGTATTTGACTTCATAATTGATAGTAGAAAGGAACTGCAAGAATCAAAATGCGGTCTTCGTTTTTAATAGAAATCGAATTATTCATGAAAATAGCAATCCAAGTTATATGCAATGCATGAATCGATACTACATCAAATTTAACATCAATTCATTTAATGACTGTATTGTCAAACTATCGAAATACAATTGCATAAGCGTTTGATTCTTGGATGGAAATAAAATGAACGAAAACATAATTCGAGATGATTGGGTATAAAATAAAGGGTGACCTGATAATAGAGTCCGCATTTTTGAAGCTTAATTGCAATATGATAGAATTATTTAATCTATTTTTTTAAGAAAATTGCAATAGATACAAGTCTAAAAATTAGAATTTTTCATTCGATGCATGAAAATATTTTTTTTCTACTGAGTAATCTGAGTTCTTGCTTGAGTGCGGAAAAAAACTTTTGCGCAAATGTTTTTTTCGATTTTATTGAATAAATTGTTCAAAAATTTTCGAATTAATCCAAACTTTTGCTCAATTGTGTCTTTTTTAATGCTGATTCTTATGTTGTGTCCTAATCAGTCCAAAACTTTCAATTGACCTTGCTATCGGTGAAATAGGTTGCGAGAGTTTCAGCCTTTTGTCATTACTCTGTGCTCATTCAAAGCCCATTCAAGAAAAAACGTCGTATTTAATTACAATGAATTATATATTAAATTAAAGAAAATAGATTTGTGATTAAAATGCTGTATTATTTGTCTGGGTACGACATCCCTAACTTGCTGAAATTACCGAATCCTCATGAGGACTTTACTAACTGGTCGCCCTTTAGTTTCAAATTTGTCTCATAAACTTGAAACTAGGACTGATGACTTTCAAGAACTAGAAAATTGATTGAGTCAAAGCCCTTGCATCAAATGCAATTTAAACATTAGTTATGCAGCTAGTAAATTGCTTTGAACTCATCAAAATACTAAAGTAAGTTGAGTTAAAAAGAAAACTTTGTTGTGATGTTTTCAAAATAAAAGATTGAAGCATGTAATTTGCAAATTGAATATAAATGGTTTTATTGGATCATTTAGATGGCAAATGGATAGAAGTAATTACAGAAAAATGTTCAAACTACAGAATCTTTATGTATGCTTCATGAGTGATCATAAATGATTGATTTAAATCAATTACTAATGAAAGTTGTTTAGCACATTTGACTGAATTGCATCGTCTCCAGGAATAGCTCGCTTTCACCAACCTTTAAACGCAGCTGCTTCAGCAAGAACTTTTAAAAAGTCTGAAGAAAACTTGGCTATATCACCTGATTGAACATCATCGAAGAGTACAAACGGGTCGAGGGATCGTTTGCCAATAGTGACAGCGTTTGGAGATTGAGCTATTCATTATGAGAATTGAAAATTTCACATTAATTGATCATGTTTTTATATTGTGAGTAATGATAATATTTTCATTGAAAATGGTTGACTTACGTTGCAATTGTCCAAAGAAGGAAATGAGCTTCCAAAGAGCATCGTTAGCACTGTTCTTGGCAACATTGAAGGCAGCTGATGACTGACTGGATTGGGCTATTTATTTATGAGTTTAAATTAAAAGTTAATTTGTCATGTTTGAACACATTATTCTGTCAATTTTACAGTTATAGTAGTCAACTTACGTTTTAATTGTTCGATAAGTGATAAGAGCTTCCAAAGAGCATCGTCAACGTTGAACTTTGCAAAAGTGAAGGCATTTGACGATTGACTAGATTCTGATAGTTATAAAAGTTACATTACAGTTACAATTTACACTAATTCATCAAGTTTGAACACAGTGTCTTTTTGATGAATATGGAAAACTTACTTTTTGATTGTTCGTAGAGGGTTAAGAGCTTCTCAATAGCTGCTTGAGCTTTGTTTTTGGCAACAGTAAACACATCTGATGATTCACTGGATTGAGCTAGTTATAAGAGTTTTAGATTTAAAATTAATCTATCATGCTAAAACACAGTAAACTCTGAAATTTTCATCGATAATGGCTAACTTACGTTTGAATTGTTCAAAGAAGGAAAAGATCTTCTTGAGAGATTCTTCAGAGTTGTTCTTAGCATCACCAGAGAACTCTGACAAGAAAAAAACGCAAAAAATTGGTTAATTGAATATTGATCTTTAACTGAAATGATTTGACAACTTACTCTTGAAGTCTTCAGCAGCATCTCTCTTTCGTCGACCTGGAGCTACTTCAGCGAGGACTTTCAACAAGTCATGAGCAAATGCGAATAAATTACCTTGAGCAAGATCATCAATGAGTGCAAATGGGTTGCTGTCTCGCTTAGTTACGATGACTGAAGCTTCAATAGATTGGTTCTCTGAAATTGGGAGAAGAGGAAATATTAAAATATACTTGCATCTTACAATCTTATACTCTTAGAGTCTTATAACTTACTGTTTACGAGAGCACTGAGTAAGTCTTTAAGATCTTCAGCAGCATATCGCTTTCGTCGACCAGGAGCTACATCAGCAAGAACTTTCAATAAGTCTTGAGCAAATGCGACTAAATCACCTTTACCAAGATCATCGAACAGTGCGAATGGGTTGCTGGATCGCTTGGTTACAGTGACTGAAGCTTCAGTTGTTTGGTTCTCTGCAATTAAAAGAAAGAGGAAAATTAAATTTTCTGTTGCTTATGTCTTATAGTCTTATAACTTACTGTTGTTTCCGAAAGCGTTGAATAAGTTTTTAAAGGCTTCTTGGACCTTCTCATTGAAGTTTTGACCGAATTCTGCAAAATTCATAAGAGAGATATTTCTTTATTTGACTAGCTTAGCACAATAAAGTTAAATACTTACGTTCAAAAGCGTGGAAAGCATTTTGAGTGTTGTTCTGGATGTCGTCGATGAAGCTTCGCTTGCTCAATGAGCTAGCAGAGGCAGCTGTAAGGAATGGATGGAAAGGGTTAGAAATGATAGTTGATACAAGAATTTGAGTTATATTTTACCTCCAATGAAGCAGAGAGCTAAGATAGTGGTGAATCGCATTTCGATTAAGGTTGAGAATGAGAATTCCGTTCGATCAACAATTCTAAACTGGATTATTCCAATGAATGATTATTGTTATGGAAAAGCGACTCTTTTTATACAAATTCTTGTGGCTTCTAAAAGCTGCATTTTCGTATCTAATTGACATATTCTTCACATTTAAGCAGTCACTCATCTTCCGAACATTGAACTGTCAATCAATTTAATAATCCTTGAAAGTCAGCCGTGTTGGTCACAGATTTATGAGACAACTTTGATACTTGATTAGCCGTTGACATCTTTATATCTAATCATGACATATATGATCTCGTTCATATTATTTGTCCGCAAGAGTCAGATGCTTCAGTATGCTTGTATTGCGATGGTTTGATTTATTGAATTTGTTTGAAATTGTCAAATGCATTGGACATTGTTAGATCTTGACAGATCAACATGTGGATCAATTATCCCCTTTCAACGGATCACTCTGTCACAATAATTTGATGGAGAAACAAGCCATGGCTTGAGTTAACCAAATTCATTATTGATTTTCATTGCTTTGAAAAAATGTAACAGATAATTTCCAATCTAGAAGAAGCCAATGAGTCTTAGTACATTGAGTATTGGTGCACCGGTGCTTTGATTTTTAGGAAGTTAACCGAAATCAAATGACGTTGAGGTTAGATCAAGGTTTGGGTTTAAACAGTTAAACACAATACGTCTTAAGCCCCAATGGTAAACTAATAAGAGTTAATTTATGCAACAAAATTTGTTATTGAATCAGTCCATTTGAGTTAATAAATGATAAAGTTTTGTCTCAGCGTAAGCGAAGACCACAACATTTACACATTTTAGGAACATTGTGTTTGATGGAGAAGCTTTCTTGGTCATGGTTCATTGCTAGATTAACTTGCAAAAGCGTCTTCGAGTCAAAAGTGAAGAGTTTTTTGGAAAAAATCTGGTGTTTCAAATGTGCATAAAGAGACAAAAGTTTCAACTTTGTACCCAATTGTCAAGGATTGTTCATCAGAGAAATATTTCAATTAAACAGATTAGGCAAGTTTTATTACTCTACTAACAAGGGTTCAACTCTCGACTCGAATGGAAATTTGCTTAAAGAATGGTTTTTCAGTCCTTAAATGAATATTAACAATGCAACAAAAACTGGAGATTTTAACTTTGGGTTTCTTATTCTGGTTTTTTCATTTTTAGTTGTTCAATAAGTACCAGTTGAGTTGTTTAAGTTGCCATTCATGCTATAGCTTTCCGCAATTATGATTACTCTTATTAATAGTTTACAATTGGGACTTTAACCATATTGTGTTCACTGTTTTGGACCCGAACCCTTTTCACAACAAGGAATAATAACTATCTTATTCGAGCCCAAATGGTTTTAGCGTCATTTACTTGACTTGACTTGCTCGTTTACTTGAGCAAAATTAAAGCACCGGTGCATCAATACTCAATGTACTCACATTCATTGGATTATTCTAGAGCTGCATTAATCTGTTACATCTTTTCCAATCAATCAATATCAAACAATGAAATTCAATTAACCTGATTATGAAATGCTGGTATAAACAGTAAATTTTCAGATATTTACTTATTTTGGGTCCCTTCAATTTTCAAGATTATTTCAAATGTAGATTGCTTATTATGTATCTCAAAATTTTTTAAATATACAAGACATTTTCATCATATTTTGACCAATTTTGGGCTATTTTTTTGCTATTGCAATATCAAATACGGATTTATTATATACAGAAATCTTTATCGTGTTTCTTGGTCTTTTTCACGTTCGTCTCTATCATTTCTCAAGTTTCTTTGTTTTTTCGTTAGTATCTCACGAACGGTATCTAAGATCAAAAAATGATTTGTATTTTCAGAATAAACATCAAAAGTACATAAGAAGAGATTATCTGCAAAGTGATCTGAAAAGGGCAATTATCACTAATCAATTGGGCATCCTCTTTTTTGACTACAACTTCGATATCTGCAAGAGTGTTAAATAAATTATTACAACAGTTGGTTGAATAATCCTTGCTCAAAATTTAATATACCAATAAGTCGAGGTTGATACAAAGGTTATTGACAATTCAAACAATTGGGTAAGAAGCTGCCTCAGCAACACCGCACCAGTTGCTGCCTCTGTACAATCTGAAGTAACCTGATTCACCAAAATCTGTGCCCCAACTATTCTTGACAATCCAATATGGAGTACCGTTTTCAGAGCCGTAACCAACAACAGCTACCCCATGGTTAAGTGTCTGATACCAGCTGTAACATTCACCAGTATAAATACCAGATCTGCAAAGTGATGAAAAATGAGAAAATTTCGTTTTCTTCAGATGCAAAAATTAACTTACTCATAAGACTGGAGTTTCATGGCATCTATGGCAACTGAAACAACACGTTCAGCAACTGCAGATAAAAGGCCATTCTCATCAGCTTCTGGTATATCAACAAAAGATGAGATTGAACCACCCTTGTTGGCTTCAGTATATCGACATGTGTGATAATCTTTTCCGTGACCAGAGATGTAAGGGTAAGATTTTTCAGTATCAATACCCTTGTTGTCTATGACATACGAGAAAGCATAGTCCATCTTACCACCGTCACATCCGGTACCATTGTAATTCCATGAGCAATCCAACACGTTTTGTTCTGAAAGTTCAACAAGTTTACCAGTTTTTTGAGCGTTGGCTGATTCGATAGCAGCGATGGCAGAGAAAGCCCAGCACGAGCCACATTCCTGTTGATTTTTGACTTCACTAACGATTCCTTTGGTTCGCCAGTCAACTGAGGCTGGAACTTTGACGGTGTAGTTTACTTTGTGAATGAATGATGTGGATTGGCGAGCAGTGGGCTTGAATCCAAGATATTTTGCTTTGAATTCCTCGGCGGTCTGAAAGAAATTTGAATTGTTGAATTATTTGCTATTTTTAAAGTTGTTTGATGCATAAATCGAAAATTTTTAAAGTTTTGAACTCACCAAATCAGAGAACTTGTTGATTCCTTTTCTGTAGGTAACTTCACCGTTGTCTGCTCTTCTATTGTGAGCCTTTATTTCTTCCAATTTTTGGGCAAAAACATTTCGTCTGAAGGTTTCTTCTGCAGTTGATGCATAATATTTGCCATATTTAGTCTGTTGAACATCGCAATAGGAATAAGAAGTGCCTAATGAATCGCATGCTCAAGTTTGTTTTGCTTAAAATAAACTTACCTTGAATGATTCCCATTGGGAGTCAAAAGAAAGGCTAGCAGCAGCGGCCAAGGCAAATAAAGCAACGAATAATGCAGCTCGAATCATTTTGATTGGTAGTTGCTGAGAAATAATAATGGTTTCTAGCAACACTAGCTTCTGTTTTATATGCTGTTTTGTGAATAAACATCGAATAGCATTGTGATAAAATTATCAGCAATAATTATAAAAATGACTTTGTTTTAAATCAAACAAAGCAGCAAAAATCATCAGTTCAATCAAGTTTTCATTGCACGAATTAAGATAAAATTTCGATGTGAAAATATCAAGATTTTTGTCGATTTAAATTGATAATTCCATTGTTACACATACAATATTGCCTCAAAAAATCAGCAAAATTAGTTATAACTAATTTAACTGCAATACATAGCAATTCACTCTTGATTAACATGTAAAGGGTGTATTGTTTAAGAGTGAAATTATGTGAGCAAAAGAGTAAAATTTACTTATCTGACTGTGGTGATTATGACGATAAATATGTTGATAAGATGAAGATAAACGTGAAAATGGACAATGATGAAAAATGCATCATATTTATCAACATCTTTATCATCATAATCACCACAATCAGGTAAATAAATGTTGCTCTGTTTGCTCCCATAATTTCACTCTTAAACAATACACCCTTTAGTTCTATCAACTTATCAAACAATTTAAACAACATGCGCAAAATTTTAATTTTAGCTGAGAGTTGGAACTTTTTTCGTAGTGTGAGAGAAAATTGAGGGCATTTGTTGCATTGAAATATTTCTCTGGTGGACATTTCTTGACAAAATTAGGTTTAAAGTTGAATTTTTGCTTTCTTTATTTACAGTTTAACATCATAAGACACTTTTACTCGTGCTTCTATTGAGTTAAAGCCAGCAATGAACAATCAATTTAAATAACCAAGAAAGTTTTTCTCTCAAACACAATGACCCTAAAATGGGTATTTCCGAACGTTTTTCACCTTAAAGTCTTCATTTAGACTCAGACAGAAACGTTATCATTAATTGACAAACTCAAACGGACTGATTCCTTCGACAAATTTTGTTGACTAAATTAACTCTTATTCGTTTACAATTGGGGCTGCAGTCATATTGTACATTCTTGGATTTATACTTATTATGTTTAGCTGTTTTAGCCCCGAACCTTGAGTCAAATGGGTTTTTAGCAGCATTTGATCTCGGTTTACTTGAGCCAAAATAAATCACCGGTGCACCAATACTCAATGTACTCACACTCATTGGATTTTTCAAGAGCTCAGTTTAATCAGCTCAAAAATGTTAATGTTAACTTACCCAACAATATCTCAATGAAAATAATCAGAACCAGTTTCTTGTTAAAATGAAACATTTATCAAATAGATTGGAATGTGCTTAATCAGCATATTGTTGCATATTGTTCCCTTTATTATCTAAAAACTAAAACAAGTGATTAGCTTAGTTCTAGCAATGTGCACTCATAACAGAATGCATGTAATAATTTCAAGGCAGAGGTACAAAGCTCTATTTTTTCTCGACATCAAGAGCATTTCTTTCTTTTGTTGTATTGCATGATTTTACCATTCTGCATGGTAGACTCAGGAAAATTATTTGTGCAATTTTTCCTAGGGTTAGCAATTAACTCACAAAATGATCTGTTAAGTTAATTCTGAAAATTAAAGTCATGCTATGAGCAACGAAACACAGTCATTCATTTCATATTTCAATGAAAATAATGATTTGTCTTCTTTTCTCAACAGTATCTCGGTACTTGGTATGAAATAAAGTCAACCAAACCTTATTTTGAAGATGGTCAACGTTGTATCAAAGCTGACTACAAGTTTGACACAACTACTGGTATTTTTGTTACTAACAGCACTGGCTTTGATTCAGTTAACAAAACAGTTTCACGAGTTCAATTTGCCAAATCATATGATCAGGACAATGTTTTCACAGCCAAATACTTTTTAGGTAAGTTTTAAACTAAATTCTGATCATTATTCTGTGAAAGTTCAAATTATTATCTAATTTCTTCTTTCTTAAAATTCAGGTTCCGGTTATTATCTTACTACACAATATTGGGTTGTTGACACTGATTACAATAATTATGCTCTGGTTGTTTCATGTAACGACCTCTTTGGTCTCGCAAGCTCTCGTGAGTATCTATGTTTCACTGAACCTTAATTAAACTAAAATTTAAACTCAAATTCGAATTTTGTTTTATGATTTTCAGGTGATGTTTGGATACTTTCAAGGAAACCAACATTAGACGACGATATTGTCACAAATCTGGTTGCTGAATTAGACACGGTTGGAATTCATGGCAGTAAACTCGGTGACATGATCCAGAATTGTTGATTTAAATGATACAATAAGCTATTACTGATATTTCTGCGCTATTGATCCTAATCTCCGAACAAAACTTACCTATCAAGCTTTAAAAAATTATCCTCTTTGTTGTTGGAAATGCTGTATTTTGAAACCTAAGCATAATAATAAACATTACTTAGCATTAAATTATATTCATCAACTTATTTAATAACATGAAGCTCATGTTTGTGAAAGAGATCTAATCATGCACACCTAACACCTTCATTTTCAAATGGTTCACGAGTTCATCTCCTCTATGCTCCTTGTAGCACAACTATCATCAATTATCTTTAATAATAGCATTTGAGCTTTGAAAACAAACGAAATAATATTATCAGTCGATTTTTTTGCTGAATTACAAATTGAAATAAAAATCTGGTCAAATTATCATCTTATTTTCTAGTGTAAGTTACATCAATGTGAAATATTATCATTCATTGCCTAGCTTAAAAAAGATGCTTCAAACTCAACATAAATTGCATTGTTATCTCTCATCAATAACCCAATGGAACTTTAGCCAAAGAAATGAGTCTAACCATAAAGTCTTTAGCTTTATAATTTAAGCTTATTTAGGCCTTTTTCGCTGCAATTTAACTGTTTTATTTGTTTCATAGTTGCAAGTCTAATAGTTTTTAACCGTCATTTGATCTCGGTTTACTTCAGCAAATTATCTAAGGCTGAATATCAAAGAGACTGCAAATGAGCTGTCAAGTCACCGTTAGTTATTCCAGCAAAATGTATGACCTTTACCAAAATAAACCAACTTATTCCCTCAGTCGAGCAGTCACCTGTATTATTTGTCCGAACCTGCGGTTTCTTTCGTACTGAGCAGGATTCCTTTTGCAACGACAAGTCATCAGTAGGGTAAAACTAACCTATCTCACGACGGCCTAAATCAATCCATTTCTATTAATAATAACAAGCTGAGACACGATCATGACTGATCGTAAATTTCTTTTAACCACCCATGCTAACCGTTTTTTCACGGTATTGTCCATGTGTTGGATTGAGTGGTGGACAATATGGTGGACAATACGGTGAAAAGATGATAAAAAACTGGTGAAAAAAGTCGGTCCCCTCTTTCCTCTTTACTCAAATGACAAAGTTTTACATAAAATCCTGGTCAAACAATCAACCATCAACCTAAATAACAAAAAGTTTTTCCCCCCCTCTCAATGTTATTGAATACTGATTCTACATTTTTTCCCCCAGTCTCTATTTCATGAATTTCTCAGAGGTCATGAGATTCTGAGGACAGGTTTCCTATTTTTTGTCGTTGTAGTTGAATTAGGGCTTTCACGCTGTGTAATTTTTTGCTCTTAGAACCCGCTCAGTTCGACCACAATCTTGACGCAAAAATTTGATGCTTTGACTTTATATATTGTATATGTATGTATAGATTATAATGATTTAACTCCTAACAAACATGGGAATGTTTGTTAAAATCAATGATCAACATCAATGATCATCAATGAAAAATCAATCATTTTTGCTGATGGTATTTTTGATTTTGGTAAAACTAAGCTCCATATTGTCAAAGATATAACACTTGATAATGATTAGAATGAAATTCTTGCTAATATTTATTTTGATGCAATGCGAAACCAGAACTAATGGTGCATCCGAAATGGTCCATAATGATGCTGGATGGTGCAACTTGTTAATCGGCGGGTAAATCTATTAAATTGATTGCAAATTAACGGTTAGAATCACATAAGGAAAAGGTGTTAATAGTGTTATGTTGTCAAAACCAAATATTTATTGATTAGATAATCAAATTTATCGTAAGGCGTTTATTGTTATTTATTGTTTGTAAATGAATTTGAAAGATAAATTAGCATAAATAAATTGAAATTTGGTTCAGTTGATTGTGTTAGTCAATGTGCCTAGTATGTCATCTTTCCTGCCGAATGAAATATACAAAATGCTATTTAAATTACCAATTTTAGTTATCTTACTTTCAACAATTAAAACAGGTAAGAAAAAGATGTCCATTTATTGACTGAAAATATAAACTCAATCAACTGCTAACAAACATAGGAAGTGCCACAGATTTGGTGGATTTACCATTAAGCATAAGTAGCAAAAGCGCTGAAATTCAAGCAACTTTAACCGATGCAGTAAGTTGAACAACCAGCCAATTGTGACTGTTTTATTATAATAACTCTTATTACATCTTAGGATGGAACCAATAAATATTTCATTCAAGAATCAATATCAGCTTCTGGTGCTAAAATCAGAGGAAAAATTGTGATCTCAGGTGAAAAGGATTCCTACAAAATCTATTATAAAACTGGTCCTAGTCTCAACAAGAAACGCTTGGTTATTCACGGTAAGATTTTAACAATAAGAATTGAAGAAATCAAAAAATTATTAATTTAAATAATAAATAACTTTCTGTGATATGTTTCCATTCGTGCGAAAATTTTTGACAAGTCTTTGTCAAGAATGAAGATTATATCATGACATTCGATATCAAAATTATCTTAATAGTAATTTTTACTTATTTAATGATATAAAGATAAAATTTGCATACCATTTACCTACAAGAATAATTGGGATGAAACTTTACCTGGAATCAACAAACGTTTAACTAATCTGATACTCTTAATGGGACCTTCAATTTTATACCGACTTGACCATTCCTCACATGTTTGGGTAAGTAACAACATTATGAGAATATTTAATCAAATTCATTTGTTGACCAACAGAAATCAGTTGAAGATAAAAACATAAGAGGAACCATGATGAAGGGTGCAACAACTGAAATAGACAAAGTATTGAATATCACTTGTTATTACAAAAGTGAGTAGGAATCAATTGATTAGTTGAACCATTCTCATTGTCATTTGCGAAAAAAATAGAGCAACTGGATGGCAATTCTGGCGTTGAAAATCCAAGTCGAATTGAATTCAGTGGTTATGATCCATCTTCAACTTCATTCAGTTACAAAGAGAATCTTATTCTTGATATTTACTTTCAACGTGAAAACAATCATGATGAACTTGCAAATGAAATTCATGTAAGTGTTTTACTTTGCTTCATTATTCGCATAAACAACTTTAAATTTGCAATATTTGACGCAATATCACAATATGAGCCATCAAGCACTGAAGAGTTTCTTATCAAACAGATTGTTTATTGATATACTTATGCATCGAAATTGCTATCAAAACTTTTCGTTACGATTATTCAGGGTTGAAATGCATGTTTCTCTCAACTTGAATTGAATTTTGACCTTTTCTTGAAGTAAAACAAACTTCATATCAAATATTGATGAGTTCAAAGATTTTCTCATCCCAACATTTTTGACTGTTAATTTTTGGTTAGCCTTTACCTGGAATCGGATGCCCATATTACTTATCCACAAGTGAGACTTCAGGCCCGAATTTGCCCGAGTTGAGAGCTGATGATGTACACTTCACTATGTACGAGTACATGAAAGGTTCAACTACTTATCGAACATTTAGTGAGGTTAGTTTATTTGGTCAAGCATTTCCAATTTTACATTCATTTTCGTTTCATTTCCAGATTTATGCATCAAGAACGACCAGATTATTACGAATAAAAGCAAATCTTCTTGGTGTGTCAACTGAAACTATTTATGATTATCCACTTGGAGTTGCTTACCTCTTTGAAGAGGACGGATCCTGTAGTATATTAGGTGCAGATTTAAATTCACCTGGAATCAGTTCTTATGGTTTCTTCAATTTAGCAAGGCTTTTTCTTGCTGATAATGCTTTCAGATATCTTGGAAAGCTCAACTTAGTAAGTGATTAATAAAAATTTGTAAATGCACGAAATTTCATCGCTAATCTATTATATTTAATCATATTTAGGGAAGTTAATAATTTAACTTCTTATGCTGAAACTTCCATCATTAATGTGTTGGGAGTGAAAAATGAAAATGATAGCTAAACTTCACTATATTCATTGTACTATTAGTTATCATTGAGTATTACAAATTGAACACTGAAAATATTTTGCCCATTTTAGGAACGCCGATCTGGATTTTCTGTAGACGCATGGGAGTTAATCGAATATAATTTTACTATCAATGGGATAAAGGCAGACAAAGCTATCATCACTCAATATTTTGTTGAATCGGTGAGTTTATCACAGTTCTAAAATTCTTGAACGTGAGATTTTCTTGTGTAACTTTATTTTTAATTTCACATTCAATTTGTGTTAAAATATTCAAATGGCTTTTAGCGAGACAGTGAAATATTTGCTGGCCATACACTCGTCAGTACCACAGTTGCCATCTATAAATTGGATTCATCGGTTAGTATTCATTCAAATGATTATGATTTGCATTTATCATTCTTTACATTGTCTTTTGCTAGAAAAAAACTTACACTTTGACTGATGAAATTACAAGGGATTACATGAACTTTGCTTCGGTTGGATTTGAAGATGAATTTCATGATATATTTACATTGAAAGAGTGTAAAGACTTGTCCAGTGCTAAAACATTAACCCTTGGTTTCATATTACAACGTAAAGGTATGTGATAGTCAATATTTAACGTTTGACAAAACCGAGTTACTGACAAGTACAAGCTTATATTATTGCAATGAATTTTTTATTGTAATAATTTTCTTTTCCAATTTCAGACGGCAATTATTCTTCCAAAAAACTCACGGAAAGTCACATTTATGAGTTGAAACAAGACTTCATTTATAATTTTATTTTACCCAAAAAAATCAGTCCACTTCGGGTCGATAACATTCAATATAATTTAAACGACGCACAAGTTGAGATAGAAGTGACATTCCTGGATTCACCTAATTTGCGGGGTAACTATCATTTGACATTTTACATTCATACAATACAATTCAATTTTTGAACTTTTTCCAGATACTTTCCACTCTAAAACTATGGATGTCAGTGAAGATACTCTTGAAAGTAGGAGATACAAAATGAAAGCAGAAGATCAATACGATTGTCTGGACAAATTATCAAATCTTCAAGAGGCAATCTCGTATATATCACCCATTTGTACATATTTTTATCCAATAGAAAACTAATTATTTTTGTTTTTCTTCATTTAGTGTAGTAATTTATAGTCCATCAGATTCTTCTTGTGGATATTTGCATTATTTTGAAGATCTCAAGGAAGACACACAAACCGGAGAATCATGCATCGTATATCACTTTCCTGTACGTAATTTACGTCGCGTTGACCAAGAATTACCACTCGATAAAATTCACAATACTTTTTTGAAAGACGCAGGAAAAAGTTACAATTTGTTACAAAGTGGATATAATCGTAAGTGTTTCTCAGCATTCAACTGAGCGAACAGAACTTATCGAAACTTCTTTTTCGATCTTTTCTTTCAAGTCGATGATTATAAATTGATTGATGTTATCGATAAAACGAAAAACCAAGTTACCTCTGGTGTCTTGCTATCCAGAATTAGAGTTGATGTAAAATTGAAAAGCGAAGATCAAGTTACAGTGACTTTACCAGATGTAAAAACCTTGGCTGATTGTTATCGAACCTGTCATAATTCCGAGCAACTTGCATGCAATACTTTCTCATTCTGCTCAAATGGTGACTGTAGAGTCAGTAGCTTACTAACTGACGAATCGTTTAATGAATCGCATGTTGAACAAGAAAAAACATGTTCTATTTACGCTTCAGAAGTTCTCAATGATTACTTAGAAGTACCTCATAGGAAATTTAAAACTCAGATTACAATCGCAGGCGAGAAACGGATTGACGCTTGTGCCGAATCTTGTCATGCTTCGCCTGATTGCTTGTCTTTCCAATGGTGTGATTATCATTGTAGTTTTGGTGGTTTTTATACAGATGCAGCTACTGAATATGATGAAGAATGCAGTGTATTTCTTCGTAAGTATTCTTCAAAATGATTAACAAGTTTTCGTTTCGTTTAATTAATTAATTTCTTTATTCGTCAATTAACTTAGCCAAAGTATTTGAAAAATACCAAAAAACGGGCAACAAAATTGTATCTGATGTTATTCACACTGAATTTAATTTAAATTTTGAACAATGTGCATCATTATGTCATGGATGGTCCGATGGTGAAACTGGATGTAAATCATTCAATTATTGTCCTAAAAGTAAAACAGAAAGTTCTTGTTCATTAACTGAATTTTCAGTTAAAAGTTCCAATACTGAAACCACAGAAGGAGGTCATTGCGTAAATTACGAGTTGAAAGTTGAATCAAATGGAAAGAAAAGCAGTGCTTCGACTGAGATAACTAAAAGAACAAGTGGATCAGGTGCTTTTGGAATAATTATTTTGTTCTTGTTTGTCGGTGGTTTATTGGGATTTGCTGCACCATTTGGTTATACAAAAGTTAAACAAATGCGTAGTGCATCAGAAGCCAATGAAAGTTCAATTTGGACAAGACGAGTAATAGAAAATTCTGACAATATCAATTGAATCTCATTCACATGAATCGGTGAATGACTTTTGACTAGCCTTTCATGAATACAATAAAAAAGCAATCAATATTTAACGACTCAAATTCTTGATGTAAAACCATGTGAATGTAAATGTGAAAAATTTAAATCTGGTTATACAGCTGAACAAAATGAAAGCTTTTTGTACAGTTGAGGTACCACTTTTTCACTTAACTCTTTACTCGAAAGACAGTTTTACATCAACCTGAATAACCAAAAAGTTTTTTCCCCAAAGTCAATAGTGAGAGATACGGCTTTTTCCTCCTACCCTATTTCGATGCTAATTTCTCAGAAACCTGAATTCCGAAGAGAGTTCGAACTATTTTTTGCGATTGAATTTTAATCATGGCTTTCATCCAGTGTATAAATTTTCTTTGGAACCCGTTTAGTTTTGCCGTAATCTTTCCATAAAAATTTGCTAGTATGACTTTATAAATTGTTTGTAAGTATGTATAGATGAATAGATTAGTGCTAAGTAACGTTTATCATTATGCTGTGGCTTCGAAATACAGGATCTATAAATGGAATAGTTTTTAAAATTTGAAAGGTTAATTTTGTTTCGGGATTAGGATTCAAAATTTGATACGAATTATATCGATAATCGCTTATTTTCCGATTAAAATCAACGATTATGGATTACGTCACCAAAAGCAATGCCATGAAGTCCAACTGTGTCTAATTCAGCAATTAGATTTGCAACAATATTGTCCTCCAATGTTTGTTTCCTTGAAAGTATCCAAACATCACCTAAAAATAATGCAACAAAATCGGTATTTAGAGTTGTTTTTTGATTGAATCAATGTTCAGTGAAAGATGAATACTTACGGGAGTGATCGAGACCAAGAAGATTGTTACATGAAAGAACCAGAGCATAATTATTGTATTCAGTGTCAACAACCCAATATTGTGTAGTGAGGTAATAACCAGAACCTGAATTCTAGAAACAAGGAATTAGATAACAAATTAAATCTTCACCATTCACATAATCAGAATTTAGTATGAAACTTACCTAAGAAGTATTTGGCTGTGAAAACATTGTCTTGATCATATGACTTGGTGAATTGAACTCTTTCAACTGCATTGTTAACTGAATCAAGGTCAGTGCTGTTGGTAACAAAAATACCAGTAGTTGCTTCAAACTTGTAGTCAGCTTTGATACAACGTTGACCATCTTCAAAATAAGGTTTGGTTGACTTTATTTGATACCAAGTACCGAGATACTATTGAGAAACGAAAAAATCAGATTTGCAATTGAAATATGACATTACAACTGACTGTGTTTTATTCAAATTTTATGGACTGTAATATAACCTGACTGAATATTAAGAAATTTATTCATTAATAATGAATATTATTCAATTACAGCATGAGATTTGTTTTTTTTACCATTTGTTTTTAAAACGAGTATCAAATCTGCCTATTTCTGCCGTTTCCACTACGATTTCTCGAAGATCGTATGATAGTGGACATTTTTGAATAACATTTATAGACTCATGCTTCCACAAAGTCTCTACTCTTCACTCGAAAGGAAAGCTCTTATTAGTTTATCATTTGAACGTGTTTAACTGTTTTAGACCCTTTTCACAGCAAGGAATGATAGCTATCGAGTTTGAGTCCAATGGCTTTTTAGCGTGATTTGATGTCGGTTTAATTCAACAAAATAAAAGCACAATCGGTGCTTTAATACTCAATGTATACACACTTATTGGATCTTTCGAGAGCTGCATTCAATTGTCACATCTTTTCAAATCAATCAAAGTCAAACAATGGCATTTATTTAACTCATAATGATTGGTCGCGACAAGTTATTAACAAGAAAGACAATTTCAACTTCAAGATACAAATTCAACGGAAAAATGAAATGTCCCTTTATGCACTGAATCGGCATTTGAAAAAATTTCAATCGCTCAGCACGAACGAACGCCTGCTAAATGGAAAAATATGTCATTCAGACAATTTCCAATGCAAAAAATGTAGCTTTTCGAAGCAAACGAAAATTTGTATAAAAAGAGTTGCTTTTCCAACGAAATAATCATTCATTGGAATAATCCAGTTTAGAATTGTTCATCGAACGGAATTCTCATCCTCAACCTAAATCAAAATGCGTTTCACCATTGTCTTGGCTCTCTGCTTCATTGGAGGTAAGATATAACTCAAAATCTTGTATCAAGTATCATTTCTAACCCTTTCCATCTATTCCTTACAGCTGCCTCTGCTAGCTCGTTGAACAAGCGAAGCTTCATCGATGATATCCAGAACAACACTCAAAATGCTTTCCACGCTTTTGAACGTGAGTATCTAACTTTATTAACCTGAGCTAGTTAAACGATATATCTTCCTTATGAATCTTTCAGAATTCGGCCAAACTTTCAATGAGAAGGTGCAAGAAGCCCTCAAAAACTTACTCAGCGCTTTCGGAAACAGTGAGTTATAAGACTAAAGATTATAACATGAAAGCATACAAAAATTTAATGCTTTTGTTTTTTATTCATTTCAGAGAACTCATCTGCTGATGCTTCAGTCAGTGTATCTAAGCGAGCCACCAACCCACCTGTGCTCATCAATGATCTCAGTGACCCAGGCAAGTTTGCTCAAGATTTCTTGAAGGCTGATATGGCTACTGGACAAGGTCGACGAAAGCGAGATGTTGCTGAAGACCTCAAGAGTAAGTCACTCGATAGATGACTTCTTCACCACCAATATCAACTTAAAACCTAATATCACAAATTATTATTTTCAGAGTTCGCCGATTCTGCCAAACAAAACGCTGAACAAGGTCTTGCTAAGCTCTTCGAGTTCCTCGAACAATTCAAGGCTCAATTTGCTCGTAAGTATTAATAATCAAAAAGACCTGGAATTAAATTAACCATAAACTGTTTTCATTTGCAGATGATCAAACCGATGCTGAAAAGGTTGTTTAAAAGCGAGATATCCAAGAAACCATCGAAAGTAAGCTCTAATTATTACGCTTAGTCAATTTACTTACTAACAAAATTTTTCTTTATTTTGTACAGAGTTCAATGAATTAGCCCAAACCAAGGCCCAAGAAGCTTTCCAAAACATCAAGCAAGCTCTTGACGATTTGTTCAGTAAGTAATTCAGCAAATGGAATCAATTTTGAGTCAATCTAACTTTATTGGTTTTACTATTGAACAGAGGGAAACCCATTCTTCCAATCCATCTCCAGCCACTTCAACAATGGTGAAGATTCAACTGAAAAGACCGTTTCCAAGCGAGACATCTTTGACAACTTTGAAAGTAAGATATCAACGACATTACCAATAAGAAACTGAAATCTAATGAAATAATTTCTTTTCGTTACAGAATTCAGTCGAAATGCTTTCGAAAACTTCAAGCAATCTTTTGAACGACTTTTCAACCAATTCTCAAATGATGACGCCGAAGCTGAATCCTCCACTGAATCCAATTAAACAACGAGATAGTTAACAGTTTTCCTAGCTCCTTAGCAGTTTTCCTCATTACAATTCAATTCAGTGAAATGTTTTACACAATTTTCATTTGTAATTGATCAAGCATCAAACGAACGATTTGATTAAGTTGGTGGGTCAAAATTGCGTAGCCACTAATTCCAGCAAATCCCACGGCTGTTGAGACAGCAATAATCGGGTCGAATCGAATAACTTTCAATGAACTGCGAACCAAACGAAGAAAAGGTACCTGTGATAAACTAGAGACAAATATCGTCGCCCATGGACTCATAGTAAATCCATTTAGGTCAGATTTAGGTTTCCAAAGTGATAAATGATGATAAATGATAAATTGTCAAATTTCTCTTCACGGACTTCAGGAAGGTCATTTTCGAAAGGAAACCTAATGCAAGAGACAAATTGAAAATATTAAAAACGTTTGTTATTGTATAAAATTAAAATTGTACATACAGATCTTCAAATTTTGTGGAAGAAGCAATGGTGGTTTTACCGACTTCATCTTTAGTTTTACTCATCCATATTTTCAGCTTTTTTCCACTTTTTCAAAAAAGCTCGGTTTAGTTGAATCAGAATCTGAGGCCATTCTTCAAAAATGAAGAATTTAATTAACTAAGGATTTAAAAAAATTATAGTAACATTGAATAATACAACATGTGTTGTGATCAAGTTTACTTGAAACCCATGACAACCGAGAGCAAGATTTTTCAAACTTGGCGGTAGCTTTGCGCAGACAAAATTTTGCTTTAAAATTGTGCGGAAATGAGTGATGAGTTAAAGATTATAAAAGCATTTTTTTTAGTGTAAAGGTAAAGTTAATTGGATCCTAGTTTTTCGTATTTGGGAAACAGTTTTTTTTGTAAGTTAATTATTAATGTTCTATCAACATTTTATTTAACCAACTGTGTTAAAAATTTATTTAACACTCTTGCAGATATCGAAGTTGAGGTCAAAAAAGAGGATGCCCAATTGATTAGTGATTGCCCTTTTCAGATCACTTTGCAGAAAATCTCTTCTTATGTACTTTTTATGTTTATTCTGAAAATACAAATCATTTTTTGATCTGAGATACCGTTCGTGAGATACTAAAGAAAAAACAAAGAAACTTGAGAAATGATAGAGACGAACATGAAAAAGATCAAGAAACACGATAAAGATTTCGGTGTATAATAGATCCGTATTTGATATTGGAATAGCAAAAAAATGCCCCAAAATTGGTCAAAATACAATGTACGATGAAAATGTCTTGTATATTTAAAAATTTTTGAGATACATAATAAGCAATTTACATTTGAAATAATCTTGAAAATTGAAGGGACCCAAAATAAGTAAATATTTGAAAATTTACTGTTTATACCAGCATTTCATAATCAGGTTAATTGAATTGAGACTGATCAATTCATGTAAAATTATAACTCTTGTAACTTATTACTTGCAGCTCAATCCAGTGAATTATCAACAGCCTTTACTGTTTCAAAGTACAGCGCTGAAGACGCAGTTCGGAAGCTCATAAGCCTCTTTGGACGATTGCAAGGTGAGTTAGTCACTTTGAATAAAAGATTAAGCGAATGCTGTATCCAAAACATCATATAAATATATTTAAATCTCTTGTAACTAAAAATAAGATGCCATCGCTAAGACATCATCGCCAAGCCGAGGAAAGCGAGCCTCAGTCCATTCGTACTAACCGAAGATATTCAATCAGGTGATATCAGCAAGTTTTTTTCGACCTTAAGCAAGCTCTTCAGGAGTTAGCTAGCAGTTTGGAGCAGTCGAACTATTCCAAGCATCTGGTGTGTTGATATAATCATTATATCCTTCAGAGGAATAGGAATCAAAGTTAACTTGGTTGGAGCCAACAAAATAGTTTTGGCCATTATTTTGGGTGTCATATCCATCTTTGAATTTATTGAAACAATTTTGATACACTCCTAAGTGGCTAATTCCTGGCTGCTCTGTGTTAGTAACTGGACCATTCATGATGAGATAAAAAACTTAATGAAAATTATTGAATGTAACGATGAAAATGGATGAGTCTCGTTGACCACTCAAGAAACAGGGACAGAAGAAATAGAAAGAGAGAAAGATGACAAAGAAACAAAAACTGAACAAAACAATAAAACAAACAATTAAAGTTATGGTTGACAATTATAAAACTTTCTAACTTTCCTAAACTTTCCGAGTTTTGTGATAAAGATTCTCATTGTTTTGCTCTTTACAGGATTATTGGTTCCATCTGCGAACGATGATACTAGATATCATTAGTTATTTTAAGGCGGCACATTTAAACCGAAAACGATCGAGCGAGAGAAGGCAATATTATCGAAATGTAAAAAAAAGAAGTTAAAGGTTCAAATGTTCTTATTATAAATTCACTTTCAGAAGCTATTAAAAGATGTATTAAGCTTTGAATTGTTTCGCAGTTATGCTGGCTGCTAAGTTATTCTCATTTTTATTCTGGATACATTAAATGATGAATGTATCAACTGAATGGTCTAATGTCAAGTGGCAAATTCACACCATGAAGCACTTTAAGCACTTGGAGCACCGGTTGAGTCAAGTAAAGAGAAATGGCGATGTTCCTCGTGGAGATAAATTTTAATGGACAGAGCTTCTATCAGACGACGTCTTTGATCCAAAAGGCTTTTACTAATGACCAGGCTAGCAATACAAAAAAGAGAAAGGACAGAAATAAACAGCACAATCAGAACTCTATTTCTCTCAATAACAACAACATCTCGCTCAGTAACACAAGGTGTTTCAGTTAAAGAGCTAGTTTTGGATAGGAAGAAATGGAAA